CACCTCCCGCCCCCCATTCCCCCGCTGTATTCTTCTCAAAATGGCTTTAGCGAATACTCTCCATAATCGCTATGCAGGACAACGGTACGACATCGCAAGAATACACACTGGCAACGCGCTCGAATTCGAGAGCTATCGAAACCTTTTCGAGGCCTCCTCGTCGCAGAAAGACGATTTGCTCTGCGTTTTCGCCGGGATTGATCCAGGCGAATGGCCCAACAAAGATCCTCCGGCGATGTACATCGAGACTTCTCGCAACGACCCTATTTCTGTGCTTGATACATTCGTCCGCGATGCGGAAGCATTAATCGAGGCGCAGCAGACGACGGCCTTCGAGACTGGAGCTCGCGTGGAGCTCATTCCAACATGCTTCATTAAAGACGGCAGCCAAAAGGGCAGGGCAGCATTATACTACGACGTCATGACATCGGGACCGCACTCCCCTCGCCGCATCGAAGACTTTTTTGAAATGTTACAGCCTGGCTAGCATAAAGGAGAACGCAGTTTCTGGATCTGGATCACGGTGCGGGAAGACTTTGATCATTGGACCACATTAGCGATCAAAACCGACTACCAACTTGCCTCTGAAGCAACCCGCGCTCAAGTGGGAGACTGGATTGTGTCATATGGAAGCGCCTGCATTGGGCTGAGTCACATAACGACCCGGGATCTCGAATTGTTCCGTCGCCACGCCGAGCCCTCGTTGCTGAGAAAAGGAATGCGTATAAAAGAGATCAGAACATGGGTCGAGGTCGCTTCGAAGACTGGACAACTGAGTAGACAGTACTCTCGGCTCGGGCAAGGAGGTCGATTCTTTACGGTCATAGACCTGTTCCTCGAGGAGGATCACAAGAGCTGCAAGAGGCCGACGTTACACGTGATATTTGAACTCGAACTCTCCAAAGATGACAAACCGACGAGAATCTTTTCTCTAGACGATCCTCGTCAATACGAACGAACAGGAACAGTGGACCCCAGTCAACTCAGTCCACAGCGCCAGATTTTGTACGCACCGATATCTCTGGACATCAACAGATCGCATAGGGCGATCGACCGCAAGGCAGAGGACGGTCATTCATCGATGATCTTCACGTGCGTGAAGGCGGCGCCATACGGAATGGCGATACTTGTCCCCGCCAGATGTGTCAATGGCATTTGGACTGGTTACTACTCGCGAGGTCAGATCACGCCTAACCCAGACAGCCTGAAGACTTCGAACGAGCTGCGCACCGCCGGTGACATTTTGATCAAGGAGATTCTACAGGAGACTCTGGACGAGCAGACACAGCCCCTTCCCGGCTTACCCAGTCTGTCGCTTCTTTCATGGAATCCACCGAACTTCTTTCCGGACCAGTCATACTATCCCATCTACCTTGCCGTTCGACTCGTGAATCTACTTCCATCGTCCTGGGGCATCGAAAACCTGGCTCTACCTCCTGACATCACGTTGACTGTGTAGGACAAGCGGCAAGAAGATCAGCTGATTTGCGAAACTCTTACAAGGATTCTTCGAAATCTGTCGATTCCAGATCTCGCATGGAACATCAATCCGCAACGGCTCTTCGTCCCGCCTTGGAAGGGCTCCTGGAAATGGAGTCTTTGGGTTTTGCCGCAGAGAAATTTTGGCACAATGCATCGAAAGGCGCATACTTTGGACATTTATCTGGACGAAGAATACGTTAAACAGGGAAACCGAAGATTGTTCCTAGAGGCGCATCTCTTGCCGAAGAAAGAGGATAAAACGGGGTATAAGCCGTATGGGGTGGTGGGAAGGAGTTTGTCACTGAATTTGTTGAATTCCTTCGAGCCTGGCTTAAAGGAGTGAATTGTGGTCGGTATCTCTGCGTTGGTTTCATTGTTCGAGGCACCGAGGGTATAGAAACCTGGATTTGATCTAGGTCATGGCTACCAGAAGCAGCTGTGCGAATTGTTAGTGAGCTTGCGGTTTCTGTGTTACACGTATTTTGTCTGCCTGCTTCTCATTGTCGGAAAGGTCGAGTTTCCATAACAATGGAGCCACTTCGAGTGCCGACTGTCAGAGGCAGCTGCGAAAGGTGTGGCTGGGTCTGAATTTTGCCTGCTGTCTTGCTTGCCTGCCTCTCATTGTCCCACCCGATGAGTCTATAGAAGGTATGACCAAGCCAAGTCACAACTTCCCGAAGGACCTGGACAAAGCATCGCCGAACTTTCGACAAGCCTGTTCTTTCATTTGTCTTGCTCAGCAAAACATTCTTCTCGTGCTTCGATATCAGCATCAGCTGCTAACTCTCATTTCAGTCCACATACTATCGATTCTGCAAAACATGTCGACATCTCAGCATCGAACATCAGGCGCTATACCTGTGACGGACCCAGTCTCCGCCGCGTTCTTCATTTTCGACTGTCCCTTTCCCGCGCAGTGCCAGGATGACGAGTGCCTCGTAGAAGTCTCCTTCGACTTCCCCGACTCGACTCCAACACCATGGCCAACACTCGGATTCCTCATTCCAGTGGCCGCAGACGTGTATGCGCTTAGTCAAGGCGTCAAAAAGGTTTGCGATAATGCTATAGCCAGGAAGCGGAGGTTTCTGAACGACTTGTATGCCTTTGGGAAAGACATTAAGGGTGTTGCGAGGATCTTCATGCCGGATGGGTCGGATATCTTTGCGAATCGAACTTCTTCGGGAAGGATTCGAATTGAGTCTGTGAGCGACTTGTTTACCAATGCGGAGCGGAGGGATGGGGATTGTGTGCTTTCTGTGCGGGTTGTGCTGAGTGTTATCGAATTGAGTAATCGGCTGGCCGCTCAGTCTACGGGTCCACCACCAGTACACACTGTACGGACACAGACGTGGAAGCTTTCTGAATATCAAAAGCTGGCATCGGACACCACACATCGCCAAATGGAACTCACAGTGCTTCAACCACCCCTGGGAATGATCCGCAGACCTGGTGAATCACTGCCTGGAGTGTTTTCTCGTCGGATCAACGGCTTGTGGATTGGCTCAGTCGACCATACAATAATTGGACACGAAAAGATGGAAGTCGCGGACACTTCAGTCCTGCCGCGTTCAGTTGCTCAGTTACCAGAACTCCCGACATTGACTTTCAACGACTACTCTCACTCGAGCAATGCTGATATCTCGGACATCCTCAAACAGAACGGCAGTCGAATCGACCTCGCGGTCCGACTGGTTAATAGGCTTTCAGGACCATTTTTCGGCCCAATGCCCGAAGATTTGCGTCTCCCAGGCAATATCATCGTCTCCGTCAAGCACAGTGAAAAGCAAAAGAGTCTCATTTGCAAAGCCTTAGAGGAAGCGCTTCGCGACTTTGGGGCGAGACCTGAAAATGCGAACAGTATCGCTTCCGCGATTTTCCACGAAAATTTCAAGCCGAAATGGGAATTTGACCTGTGGATTTTACCGCAAGCTGCACAGCCGAAGAAGCTCTTTCGCTTCAGTGGCGGTTTGGTAAAATTTCTGGACACGGAGATGGGGTTGGAAGGAAATACGAGAATGTACATGGAGGCTCATATCGTGCCGAAGCGGGAATAGGAAGCTCAGATCGTGCCGACGCGAGTAAAGGATGCTCAGATGGTGCCGACGCAGGAAGAGCAGACCCGTATGGCGGCATGGTGGAATCCCCGGCGGAGTAAAGGCCCCCGGTTGTGACCACATTTGACGAGGAGCCAGTCCAGGGATGGTGATCACAGCAATGAGATGAGGTTGCGCCACCTTTTCAGTTGTGTTGAGCGGATTAGGGAGCTTGCGCGTGCCGATCCAGTGGAGGAGAGGAAACAAGAGGATTTTTTGCATTCAATGGCACATCGTCTCGGGGAGGCGCGCGATGGCGTTGGTCAGTAATAGGTTCGTGCTTTGGTTGTCTCTGGCAGAAGCCGTTCAGAATATCTTTGTTGGCAGAGTTCAGAAAGAGCTAGAATTCGTGCTGTCTCTACACGCGGTTTACTGCAAGATTAGCGAATAGAGTTGGCGTTGGTAGAAAGCGAGCTGAAGCAGCAAGTTTTCGCGGGCTATGAAGATCGTGCGGTCGCACGAATTCTGCTTCGCGTGTCTGGCTTTTCCCCTCTTTATTATTATTCACCACACAAAGTGCGATCGTGTACCGGCTTGTACTTCTCTACAAGTCGACAGATCGACTGACAATCTCTGGCGCATGGCGGCCATGCTTCTAATCCTTTGTCGATGTGTAGCGTGGTTCCTGAACATCTCCCGTTGAGCCTGTTTGGACTTCATGAGAAGGTGGTGACTGTCAAGTGAGGCCCAATTTCGGAATCACGCTATACTTTGTAAGCAACTGGACGGAGAAGGCAAAGCGCAGATGACGTGCAGGATTGTATATCGGTGACTATCTGAGGGCAGCGCCTATGGCGCTGCCTTATACCTCCTAGGGACAAAGCCCTTTGAGGGTGAGATATGTGGAGCCTCCTTTATCCAACACTCCCCCTGGATCGAATATCTCACCCGACAAACCTTCGACGCACGTCGAGTGTGCAGAGTGCAGCTGACGGAAAAAGTGAAGTCGCCAGACGCAGTGTTGAATTTGGAAGATGATATTCTTGGCATTACTTTTCATACAGCATCATGTCCCGCAAAGGCACGACTTGGTATCTAATTCTATCTAACCATAGACCGCAGCGCGCTGATAACCAGGGAACTGTCTCAGCTGAGCCTCATCAATCTCGCGAAGCTGTGGGCAGCTGAGCTGCGACACAATTTGGCCGAGAATGTCCGTGATTGGGTTGAGGAGACCCAGGAGGATATCTGGCTTGGCCTGAGCAGCGAGCTGGAAGACGAAGCAGCCAAGGTTGTTGCCTTGCGCGAGGTTGCCTAAGTTGACGAGGCCGCCTGACAGGTTCTCCAAGTTGACGCCGGTGAAGGTGTTTGGGCCGTTGGTGTTGCCGCCGATGGCGAGGAACTTGGGGTGGCTAGAGACATTTGCTGTCAGCGAGTGTTTTATGCATGATGGTGTGATGTGGTGGTGTTGTAGGACTTACAGGAGCGCAGCATTGAGCAGATCTGCAATGAAGTAGGTAACCTCGTATGGGTACTCCTGTGCGCGGCGGTACCAGTTGTCGGGAATACGCTCGTTGCCGGTCTTTCCGTTCACAAGCGAGTAAGAGCCGGACTGACCCTGCACACCGAACCACGAGGCGACAGTCTCGTGCGAGAGGAAACCGATTGGGTTCTCTGCAGAGTGGTTGGCCATGAAGCGGTAGATGAACGTGTACGCTGCAGGCTGCACGGCAACACCAGCAAATGGTCCGTTGAAGAAGTATGGGTTGGTCTGAACTTGAGTATCGAAGCGGTGGGATCGGAAGTTGGTCAAGCTCTCCATGGTGAGACTGCCTGGAGAGTAGTCGATCATCTCTTGGAATTGGCTGAGCACGACCTTCCAGTTGTCGCCCGCCTGGTAGAGATCACCTCGGGTGGGTGAGGCATCGGTCTCGTATTTGTTGTGTGAGCCGATCAGGCCGTTTCCGCGGAGGAGGCCAGCGCCGCCCGGTGGACCACCCATCGACCATGAAGCAAGATCACCGTCGATGGTGGCACCAAGGATGGACAGGAATCCAGCGAGGATGCGACCCATGCCTACGACATCGGTTGTGGCATCAATGTATTGCTGAATCGTGGCAACACCATTTCTCTGTTGAACTGTTAGCAGCTGAAATTGCGAAGAGGCTCGGTATACGGACTGGCAAGACTATTGAGATGTTAGCTGATGTTTACGCATGAGATTCGGTGCACATTACACCCGTGGTTTGCAAACGCGTTCAAACCTGGACAAGGACCTCTCTGATCGTTTGGACCAGGGGCCTGCCACTCATGCCCGCTCCCAGGGCCGACGTTGATGAACTGTGTAGCAGCGTTGAACTTAGGCACAGGCTCAAAGAGAGCCGTAGCACCACCAGCACCAGCTTGACGCTTCAACATGTCCACGTCCACAGCCTCGAGGGCCTTTGCAACGAGCTCAGGATCGCGCTTGATAGCCTCCTCCATAATCTTGGCCGGGAAGGCGCTCGCGCCAACGGCGAGGAGTACTGATGCTGAGAACTTCATGATGATGGCTACTGCAGAGTCAACAAATTTGAAAGAATCGAAGTGAAGCAGTTTTTCCAGTAATCCTGGTCACAGATCGTCCAAACTGCAACAATACTTATAGTCTTACAGGACCATCACAAGAATGTGACGCTGCCTCGGTGCATTTCCAACATCTTGGTTGCGTAGGTGCGTAGCATGCCACCACTGTAGTCCGGTGCGAAGTCAAGCGATGCCTAGTCCAAGGGTCAGTGTGAACAGAGGTCATCAGATTGGACAGATCGCAAAGCGTGCACCCACTCCGACCACGCAAAGCCCACGGGGCCCCAAGCTTACCTACAACCGTAAGTCTTGGTTCCAAGCCCCGGGCTAAACGTGGATGTGATCTGCGCGGGGAGGAGGCAACTTTAAAGTTCTTGAGTGAAGATCACCTGCTGAAAGCGGTAAGAGGTGTTTTTTCGCCCCAATGAACGCCGACGTATTATGAAAGTCCTCGGCAGTACGGCCTCATATGGGTGACGATCGTCTGTACAAAATTGTGCCCTAGTGGTTCGCATTCGTCGCTTCTAGCGTTCTTCGTTGCGTGACTCTGTCTGGATGGTTCAGCTCGTAAATGTCTCGCGATCGTTTAGGCATTGCAGAATGTACTGTGGGCCCATCTCAGCGCCATCGACTTCATACATAGAAGAGGAGTGCCCGTCAGCTCAGCAGACCTGTTTGTAATCGTTCACGAGCATTTTTTGCATTGCCTCGGTGGCGCGCGCCACATTTCAGACTTTTTCGAAGCCTCCAAGCCATCAGGCCACCCGCTGCCACAGTGCCTCGTTTCCACTTTCCTCGTACTTGCACGGCAGCTCATGTCATGGTTCCTCGACTCGCGCAGCCTGACCGATGCAATGCTGCGCAACCGCCTTATGATTGAAGGTGCAACCAGCTGCAGCCATCGAGTGTTCGGCGTTGGCATTCGCGATCATGAAAAGTCGAAACTGCCCTCCAGACTCGTTGTCCAACTGGCAATCGAACACGCACGACTGCAGACTTCACCTGCCTTGCGCTCGTAAATAATGTCTGGCGGGCATGCGAAAACGATGAGCTAAGAGATGCATTCATGCTTGACTTTGCGCGAACACAAGCATCACATCCTCAAGTTTGCAAGCTTCGAAGTGAAAGCTGCGTGTCGCACAGCTTTCCTCTTCCAGATCGCTGTTCAACTGACCACGTGTGCACCATGCAGAGGATACTGCCACATGGACTTTGCCTGCTCGTCAATCCATCGATCCCATGGCGTCCATGGACTCTCACCTTGGTTCGTAAGTTTCAATCCGTTGATTGTGTTAGGCGAAGAACACATACATTGGTTCCGAGGCTCACACTCGCTCGACGCGGAATGGAGATGCTTCAGCTTCGTGCTAAAGCCTGCAGGCACTCGTCAAGTCCGGTGCGTCTGCACTCCCTGAGAAAGTCGATGGCCTGTGATTTGCCGATTGAAAGCAGCTGGCGTAAGGAAACATGCGCTACAATTCCATGCATGTCAAAGACGGCCATACGGGGGTGGTTTTCCAGTGCATGAGTGTCGGAAGCGCCTGCTGCGACAGATGCTTCGGTTGTGCTGTCCCGTCATTGAGGTCGCTTCCGATGCAGGAGACTGTAAGATGTGTCATCTGGTCTTATCATCGTCGGCAGTGTCGATAAATAGAGGTCGGAGTCTACTTTGAGCTCAACTCCTGCTTAGCTTTCTTGCCGAGCACATCCTCAATTTTATCAACCTATTGACATGTAAGACGAAGCATCTAACTCACTTTCTTCTCCGGCATGATCGTCATGAGTTTACTTACCATCTCTTCGATCTTGTAAGGCTTTGAGATCACATCCTGCATACCGCTTTCGAGCATTTCATCGAGTTGAGCGCCTCGCACATTCGCCGTGACACCAAGGATGGGAATGTATTCGATCGAACCATCTTTTTCGAGTTTGCGGATTTCCTTCGCGGCTGAGTTGCCGTCCAGGATAGGCATTTCTTGATCCATCAAGATTACGTCGAACGCTGCTTTATCACCGCCAGAGGCCTTTGGTGCAGCGCGAACAGCGTCGACAGCCTCTCTGCCATTACTCGCTGTCGTCACGTTGAAGCCTGTGCTACGTCAGTATTGCAGGCACAGATGACTGGCATCGGCAAATCTCACCTTTTGCTTCCAGCTTGCGAAATACGATCTTTGCGTTGATGACGTTGTCTTCCACCAGCAAGACATGTGCTCGAGAGCCAGATTGTTTGACATCTGCCACTGGGCGGCTTTCAGTCTTGTCCCCAGATTTACCGTCTTGAATCAATTCCTGTGACTGTAGCCTTCCCGAATCTTGTTCTGCTCTCGAGATGCGCGGGCGCTGGGCGACCTGATAGGTGTTGTCTTGTTTCGGCATGTTTCCATCAATCTCGCCGCTGTCTACTACGTTGCCACCCGGAGCATCGCTGAAGCTTTCTGCAGTCTCTTTCCGCATCGAAGGTGCCCACTCGAAGGGCTCAAATCCTTCTAGTTCTGACGGAGAAGCAATACCCAAGCTCTTGATTTCATCGCGAACTTCCTTCTGGCGCTGCAGGTCTTCCATAAAATCTGCGTCGAGATCACATCGCTTTACCTTGAAGAAGAATCCGAATGTACTGCCTTCACCTTCTTTGGAATTGACACCAATTTCGCCACCATGTAGATGACAAATCTTCCTTGAGATATTCAGGCCGAGCCCACTGCCGCCATATACCTCTTCAGTCTTCGGCGTTGCCTGTCGAAATCTTTCGAATAGCTTCTGTTGTCCTTCTGCACTGATGCCAATTCCTGAGTCCTGCACTGCCACCATGATGTATACAGAGTCTCCATTTCCCCATTCGCTGCTGTTCGTAGAGTCCATTCTGTAAGCGAGATTCTCGCTCTGAAAGAACACAACATTCGGTGGGTAGGACTTTGGTCTCTCCAAGCTGGCTCCTACTGAGCAGACTACTTTCTTGGCACCCTGAGCACGAGACGTAAACTTGATGGCGTTTGTGATTAAGTTGATAAGAACCTGTCCAATGCGCGGCATGTCCGCCTGCACAGTTCGGATACCGGCATCCCGATATGATGAATCGACACGATATCCAAATTGCATCTTCTGCTTCTTGAACTCGTGCTGAAACATCTTCAACGTTTGCGCAAGTTGGTGATCCGGGTTTGAAGGCTTCGGACGCAGCGATAGCAGAGACGCATCCAGTTTCGAAAAGGACAATACATCATCCACAATGTTCTTTTGATGCGACACGCACAGTGAAATAGTCTCCACGGCTTCTTCTATCATCTTGATGTCAATTTGATCGCCGATCTTGTCCCGGACTGAATCGCCGATGTCTTCGGCGCAATGAAGCACAGCACTCAAGGGGTTGCGAATCTCGTGACTGATCATGTCGATGAATCGCTCTTGTTGCTCTTTTCTTTCACGAGCCTGCTGCGCTGCTTTCCTCTCGTTGAGCTCAGCGCTTTTTTCAGAACTGATGTCGACAATGCTGCATATGAAGCCTCCCTTCTCCCGCAGACTCACATGCTGTAAGTTGTCATCGTCGAGAGGGGTGAGGAGCAGAAGTCGCCACGGATGTGGTTCGCCACGCGCTCTGAACTCTGTACGGAGCTGCTGCTGGCTCGAGAACGCCTCCTTATATGCAGCCATGACTCTGTCATAGTCTTCTGGATGAATACTTTGGGGCCAACTGGTGAAGGACTTGTCCTCAGTATCTAGCATCGTGGTCAGATCGTAGAAATGTTGATTGACAAACACAGCACGAGCATTGTGATCAAGAATAGCCAGTCCAGATGGCAACATCTCGGCAAAGCGGCGAAAGAACGGATGCTCGTCTAGGGGTGTGTTCTCGACTTGCTGCACCTCCTCGTTCGGATTATCGGCTCCGCTGCGATCAATCACGGTGCCACGTTCGCCAGCCCCCATCTCGAGCGATCTATACAGCATGGGCCGAGGGAGAAGCTGAATTAGCACTCCTTTGGTTTCGGATTTATTCTTGCCGTGACCCAGCAGTGGACTAGCGATTGCTGTCGACTGTTGCCGCGTTGCGCTGCCCTCTTCTTGAAACAGGCCGTGACCCTGTATCTCTTTTGGAATCCCACGAGACTTGACCGCTTCTATGACCTCCCTCGTTTCTGCTGATAGATGGTCCGAGCAAGGCTGGCCTTGCTTCACGATGCCACCAGCATTCTTCCACGACGTGTTATGGAACAGAAGGAGTTGCCCATCCCAGAACACCGCCGCAGCGTACGGCAGTGAGCTAATTGTCACGGCGTGACAGCGCAAATCACGAGGCCAAGTTTTGTAGTCGCCGAGGGGGCATTTCTGCCATGCGTCTGCGCTGCCTGGCAGAGGATTCCCATCCTGTTCAGACCCATCGCCGCTGCCAGATTGGGAGGAATCCTTCATCGCTTCATGTCGTGGTATCGTGGACTGTTTGCATGGAGCGGCTGCACTTTCGATGCTGGCTTCCGCCGGACGAGAGTCGAGCTCTTTGGCGATGCGGTCAGAGTGATGATCACGCATCGTTGCTTTGTGGCGACGACAAAATGGCAGGTTCCAGTCAGCAGCTTGCTATGACGTCTCGAGGCGGGACCTTGGCTCGTGACACCCGTCACGCTGTTGGGTGCATCTTCTTCGGGCGACACAGACAACAACGTCCGACAAGGACAACTAATTGTGAGCCAAAATGGGTGATGAAACATGGTCGAAAGCTGTGCGAAGTGAATGTAGTAGTAGTTGCTAACTCTGCGGGTGACACTGCGATGCCCGTCGATCGATTCACTTCCCCGCTGATCTCATTGGCCCATAACTCTGGAACCAAGTCCGCCTGCTACGGGGCCTGCCTCCGACTATGCAGAGAGCGACAACACCGCATAGCTCGCTGCGTCTCAATTGGTGGGGATCGGCACATCCAGCCCATTCAAAGTGATGGATATGTAGGAGTACAGGGCCGTAAATTGCACCAAGGCGATTGCGCCTTCTTTACCGAAGGCCTCGACTGAGCTCTGCCACAGCTCTGCCGGTAACGGTCCAGGAGTGCTGCACAAATGTCTTGCTACGTCGTACGCGAGACTGCAGTCGCTGTTGAGATCCGCTGGCTTCCGGTTCTCCTTGATCGCTTCAATCTGGGCTTTGTTCAAATAGCCCGCCTTTTCTGCCACGTTCTCATGTGCATAGAGCTCATAAGCAGCCTGAAAGTTGCCTCCACACACGAGGATGGCAGTCTCCTTCGCATCATTGGGCAAGCCTTTGAGGCTGCCCACGCTGAAGATGAGATCCGTGGCTCGGTGCCCAAGATTTGGGTAAGCCATGAACAGCGCAAGAGGGCCTATGAGGGCTCCATTGTCGTCTTTCCAGCGGAATATCTTCTCATTGAACCCGCCAGAGACCAGTTGCTCAGAAAAGGTATCATACTCTGCTTTCTCTTCTTGTGAAAGCTCTTCTGGGCGGCGAGGAGGAACGCGAGATCCCATATTGGCGAATGTTCGCTTCAATTTTTCTACGCGTTCAGTGTAAGGAGTCTTTTGGCAAGGATAAAGGTGAGAACGACAAGTTCAGACCGCGCGACCGCTCAAGAGTACCTCTGACGATCTCTATATGCATCTGACTTTGGGTGGTAGCCGAACGGAGTGATGCGGAGTTTCTGATCATGAATGGGATATCCTGCGATTCAGTCATCTTTCCGGGCATCATCTCACCTTCCGCGCCTGTCGACGGCGCCCACGATAAGACTCGGAGGAACTGTCCGTCCGGCACGTATGGGTGAGACGTTGAAATTGTCAAGAGAACAAGACAAAGCCAACCTTCATCTTGGCGTCATTTGTGCCTGTATTGCCGAAGCTGTCCACGACTTTTCCCGCCAACCCTCCGCAAAGCGCCTTCCATCTGGGTATCAAACTGTATGTAAACATCTCGACTCGCTGTATTTTACTCCATTCTTTGCAAATGCTACGCCAACGCAACCTTCCAGGCCTCTGCTGCCGTTGGTCGAGCCACTTTCGTGCCCAACAGCCATCCTATACCAACGATTGTGTCGATTAAAGCGCGATTCGCCACGGTCAGCCCCCTCATGGACGCCCAATGCGCGTGCGGACATCCCGGATACAGGTCCAGCTTGGTCGGGACGCTGGCATTCTTGAGCATCTCTTCATAGATGAGCCCGTCGTCACGCAATGGGTCTTGGCCACACACCTGAAGAAATGTCCTTGGCTGTCCAGCGAGTGGTGTCTTCGAGTTTGCTGCGTACCTCAAATCTGAGTCTCGATCCCACTGCACGGCATCCATCATCATTCTCAAAGACTCTTTCGCCAAAGACGATGATGCCGACGAGTTCTGCTCTAAAGAGATGTACCGCGACTTGTACTCTGGTGGACAGCAACCGCTATGCATGAGTGATGGCGCCGCGAGCCACTGACCAGTCAGTGGATATGCCAGACTTTCTTCTTGAAATTTTCGAGATAGTGCAGCAGCAATTGCAGCTCCGGCAGAGACGCCGCCGATGATGAAGCCCTTCGTTGGATCAGCTGCGAGAAGCGGTGTCGTGGCATTCTCCGCGATCCAATATAAGTTGTCCCACGCATCGTGCTGGGCGAATGGAAATTTATACTCTGGTCCACATCGATAGCTGATGTTGACCACAGTCGCGCCGAACGACCTGACACATATCCGCGCTGTCTCCGTAAGCTGGTCGTTGTCACCTCCGATGAAACCTCCGCCAAACAGTAGCACGATCAGAGGACCAGGTTGGGCCTTTGCGGGTTTGCATATTTTTGCTGAGCTCCGGAACCCGTCCCTCATCTCGACATCGTGATAGAATTCCTCGCAATCGCTTGGAGCAGGACCTAGCCTTTTCACGTTGGCTTCGATAAACCCACGGAGGGCTCTGCGGGCAGCCAATGGATCTGTGCTTGGTGGAGGCTGTGGGTACTTTGCTTGAAACTGGGCTGACATCAGAATCGTCGTATTCCAAGCATCTTCAGTTCGACTTACGGCGGCGACCTCAGGATGAGTTTGCGCAGACTCGTTCAACTCTGCTTTCGACAGCAGCATTTTGTCCACTTGTTTGTAACGTTCGACGATTCAGCGACTTGTCGATCCAGGGTTGTTTCAACCTCGATAATGAATCCGTCCCGCAATCTTGCTCGTCAAAGATTCATCGAATGTCAGCTTCAATTGACAAGGATACAAAGCACAATAACAGAACAACACTCTCACATCCAACTAACAGAGAGCGCAGAGCCAGACCTTTAATGCTGATCATAGACCCTTCCGGGTAGCTGGCCTGTGGCTTGGAAACATAGTTCAAATACAAAAGCGATTTCCTACCTAGGTAATAGCAGTTTCTTCACGGCTAGAACTCCCACTTACCCAGCGATACACCGACAACCACAAAGCTCACAGACAAGCATCGGCTGCATATTTGACGTCCACGTGCGGCACTTGTCACTTTTCAGTGTGATTCGCGGATTCTCCGGCTTTCTTCACGCCTTGCGGAAATGCGACTTCCTATTTGGGAAGGAGTAGCAGAATTTTTCTCATTGGCTGAACGCCTTCGGAGAATGACACGAAGACAGACATATGTTTAGAGCCCTGCGGAGTTCCACTTTCCATGTGCTTTCCTATGGTATGATGCCACGCGACAAATGAGATGCATTTCAGGGTCCGGGAACCACGTGGCTGCATATGCGTGCCATAGTGCATTTTCTTTCGAGATCGCGAACGTGGCTACCCTGATTGTGGCCCGAAGCCCTAATGAAATGGATCAATGCTCACCTTACTAATGAAATGGATCAATGCTCACCTTATGCTCTGCAGGACTGGACGCCAGTACCATATGCCGGCTCTCCTCAACTCTATTCAGCCTACTCCTGCGTAGGCTAATACCGATCAACCCTGAAGCATTTCGGAAGCACCGCCGCCGAGATGGAAGACAAGACTGGTCTTTGCAGCACCACATAGGGCCCGATTCCCTTCCATCAATATACATATCGAGCTTTGTGCATACGCCCAGCGAATCTGTCAAGGCTTCTGGAAGAATGGACCGACTTCGGCAGGACCTCCATGGAAGCCGCAGGGAACACGCCCTACGTTTCCAATATACATCGTGGCGTTTGCCATTCAGCCCTTTGCAAGCTTCTCGATCCTTCTCGAAGATGCTGTGACGATCGGAGGTCACGGTCCACGTTCTCCTGCAGATATCAGTCACGATACAGCAGGATCGATAGCCATTGTGCTGCTCCAATGCGACCATCACATCAAGTCAGCCTTGAGATATACTCCAACACCTTTCTTGTCAGACACTTTCGTTGCATCCGATCACCTGCGCGCTCTGGATGTACCACAGCCGTCCATCTACAATGTGCAGTGCATCCGATGGCTGAGTGGAGCGATCCATGATCGGCGTTGAAGCAGCTTACCATGAGGCCAAGCGTTGGCTGCAGACGGACGTCCGAGCATCACTTCAGTCGTGAACAGCCGTGTGCACAAGCAATTCCCTACTCTGGTGAGAATGGAGCCGTGGAAGCTGTGCCAATGTTGCATTTAGCCGGCAGGTGTCCATCATTGTCCCTCTGACTAAGACTGTCCTTAGTCACTGAGCGGAACACCTCACTCGCAAATGGCCAAGAGACTTGTCACTCCCGGGTGATGCGAAACGATAAAATCGTGCATTCATGTATCTCAGCGGTCTAGGTATGTTTGAGCTCTCATGCTATTTCCTCTTTCGCTCGCGCTCTTTCAGGGAGAGTGTCTCGCCTCGTGGAGGCCGATGGTCGATAGGATGGACCACTCTCGAGCGCATGACTGGAGCGTCTCGACATTTCCAGCTCTCCATCCCCATTTCGTCTCGTTCTCAGTGCGCTCCTGCAATTCCCTACACTTTGGCTTGGAGCGGTCTTTGATTTCGGGATCTGATGGGACAGGAGAACCCTCATGACACAAGGTAGCAGGAGCACAAAAATGCTCGCCAGCCTCCATCCAGTATATGTGATTTTGTTTGAGCTTCCCAATCATCGCGGGCAGCTTGTGAGGTTGAGTGACTTGATGAACCTAGGCTCAGGGCGGTCGACCTGAATAACGAAGATCGGATATTCTTGTGCAGCGTTCCTTGGAAGGCTGCGGCTCTTTTTCTGTTCCACGAGTTCGCGTACAACGGCGAAAGGCTTGGTCTGTAAGCTGTAAGTTGAAGCTAGCATCTTCTTTCAAAGCTAATTGCGAGTGCTCGTTGAGGTATTTGATAACGCGTCTGCTGATTTCGTCCAGGAAGGTCCACCAATTTTCGCCATCGCCGACGTAGAGAATAACAGATCCTAGATATTCCCTAGAAACTTCTTTTGTGCCGTCATAGTGGAAGGTCGATCTGGACGTGTGACTGACTTCAAATTTTTCAATTTCCTGGGTCTCAGGAATTATGTGCAGAACGTGCATCCAATTGGGGGATTCAAGGGCCAGGATAACGGATGGGTAGCTTGGACGCCGTGTGAAGCTCACCAGACTCAACAAGCGTGAAAGCATGATTGGGTGGTCCGAGTTGAATGAAATGTCAGTGTTCAAGCGTCGATGAGTCGTGAGCGGCAGACAATTATACTATATACTATTAGCCTCCTGTGTCCTAGCCAGTCAGGACTTGCTTAACAGCACTGCCCTCTGGATGGGGGCCTGAACCTTATACTGTAGATACATACCACGTATCCTGGAGGGAGGTTAGACATGAGCAGTCCAGCGAAGGCTTGTGATCAAGAAGTGGAAAGCTCCAAGATTCAACTAGCTTTACGGACAAAGTGTGGACGAGTAGCGTGGCCTTGTGCACCATGCATATCAATCTTTCTACAGGCTTGCGCCTGCACGACTAAGGTGGCATCTGTACGTGGTCTCGCAGTCTCCGAAGGTTGCGCGCAGACTTTGTGGATGTGAACTTCACACCTACGCGAACGTGGAGGGGTTAGTTACATACCTTCGCAAGAGCTTTGAATCAAGCAGTTGTGATGGGAGCCTACCTCCTCCTCAGGCGCTTTCTTCCACTCAAAGGACAAGCACTGTCCGGGCGGAAACATGTGTCGTAGGCCCTACTATTCTCTCCTCCATCACTCGATCCCCTTCTTGTCACCATTTTTCGCCTGCCCTTCCTGACCCTCTTGCGCGTGCTTTTCGCCTTCCTCATCCCGCTCCTCCGCCTTCACACTGTGTCCGCACTCCACGTGCCCACACTTACTCTTCAACGCTTTCATAGCCTCATCCATACATACCTGTCCACAATGCCAGAAGTCCGTGGCTCCGATCCCACAAGAGATTGGCAACAAATAAGGACTTAGAGCCGCGCAACTCGGTGCTTCGCAAGACCTCAGACCGGGTGGTCCTGCGATTCCATACCTCTTCCTGGCCGCAAAAATACCAATGTGATCCTCATGTTGCGCGATCGAATCTTCTTCCAGAAACGCATTTGGTGTAGTTTCGAACCTCGTAATACCAGCTTTGATGAATTGCTCCCTCTTGACCACGAACTCCTTCGCCATGGCTTCGGCAGTGAACTGTCGCTGCGCAAGAGCTTGATAAGCACGCAGCTTATCTTCGGGGCCTTTGCGCGCGATTGCGAGAACTTGTGAGACTTCTTTGGCTTTTCTTTGTAGGTAGGCCAACATGATACCTACCGGATCCTGCTCAGCCGGGATATCGATCACAGGACAATTGGTGCGGACGATGATGATGGCGTTGTTGACTGCGCCATACGCGGCGTCTCGTTTGCCGAAGTCGGGACTGGAGGTGTCGAACGTGGCAAATAAGATATCGTACACCGGGTTTGGATGCTCTGCCACTGGATTTGCATTTTCTTCCTCGTCGCTCGCGAAGGGCTCAGTCCAGACTTTGAGCGGGAGATTGAAATGTTTACTGATAGGTGGCTGAAGCCAGCCGGGTTCAGTGAGGAAGTGCTCGCGAGTGATGGAGATGAGTGAGAGGTCGCCAATGGAGAGCGTTGGGGCTGGAGGAGCAAGGAGAGCCAGCAATTTAGTAGGTAGGTCTGACAGAGGAGGCAGCCGAACAGACATGGTGGTGCTGTTGTCGTCTTTCTATCGGGATCGGTAGGCAAAGTGGGCGCGGGAGAGCCGACTTCGCGAGGGCTGCTGAGGGTTTTGTTGGTGCAATGTTTGCCTGGGCAATTAACAAGCTGCGTTGAGAGGTCAAACAAAAACGGGAGAGTCTGTTTGTACCGAACGAATCATGACGTGTGTTCTCGAAGGTGAGAATTGATATGCATGTCGACTCGGAAGCGTTTGTTCAGGTTCGCGAGAACGGTGTCGCGCAAGCAGCGGTACCACTCGTGAATTCGGTCAAGTGAAGGCAGGCTGTGCGGACTTGCACCGTTGATACCGACCTGCAGATCTGGAGTCACAGGTCCTGCATGATTCAGGCCATAGGTATTGTTGGATTCTGTTCAGTTTGCCTTCGTGGCGGTCGCCGGGCGCGATCAAGCCGGGCCATATCTTTATTGCCCAGACCCAGGCATGACATAGTGCCAAAGTGATCCACGCGTCGATGGAAGTCGTCCTGGTGTCAGCGGTGAGCGGAGAGGGAGATGTCGCAATGCTTGGGCTGTGCATTAGTACCACGTGAGATCTGAAGTCTGGAAACAGCCTGCTTTCGTACACCTTCTCAGTAGAGATCTGTCCATAATTATGTCGAACGCCGAACGCTTCAATGTACTTGCCGATTACATTCTTAATTTTACACAACCTCGCTGCTCTGTTCTCCGCGCTACCTCTTTCGCTGCGCGCCTCTGAACAGCAGACCTCCCACCACGCCAGCAGCAACAGCCAGTCCGCCCACGATCGCAACGCCAACCAGGCCTTCTTTATTGACCTTATCCTCAATCAACTGGCTCAAACTTTGACTTTGCAGATTCCCGGGCTCAATCTCCAACAAACTGTCATTATATCTCTTCGCCTCAGCATAATTCCCCAGCTTGTAATTGCCCAATGCCAGATAGTACAGGCATTCTCGTCGGCGGTCAGGCGATGCGCGGAAGATCTCGGATAGTAGTCGCACGCCTTCTTGTTGTTCAGGCCGTGAGTTCGATTTGATCAGGCCCCAGGCATAGTTGAACTTCGTTTGAAGGGAGACGTATTCGCCTTCTTTTTCGTATTGCGAGCGGAGGACTTGGAGTTCGGCGGGTTTGAGGGCGCTATTAAAGATGTGTCAGGATGGAGAGTTGTGTCTGCGGGCGAACGACGCGAAATGGGCGATATCTGTCTGGGCGTTGGATCTCGTCATGATCGTACCTTTCCGCATCCGCAGCGTCTGGGAGGAAGCTCATGTCAGCGATGCTTTCTATACGGGATCTTGTCTGCGAGGGCGAGTTGTCAAACTTACATGGCAAGTGTTCACCCATATTCAATAATGTCTACTGAGTACCTGAAGACGATATGGAAGATGGAGTGAACGTGGTTGTCGCCTGCCAACTCGCGAGAGCTTCGCATGTGGCAGCTGCGGACGTCACAGGGCCAGGGTCCAGCGGACGGGAACCCCCGTCACCTTCCGTTGCTGCGGGCGCAAGCTTTGTTTGGGAAGTGACGCGACATCATCAACACAAGCCAACACTTTGAACAACCACATCGGCATTCAACAGCACACGAGATACAGACGCCGAAGCACGATCAAAAATTGGAGAATCTGTTCCTGTTTGCCAAGGACCAAAGAGCAGATCATCAGAGGCCACACGAGACCGGCAAGATGGTGCTCTTCGACGAAGATCCGGTGGAGGTAGGACATCTCATGCGAAGACGGGCTTCAGGCCATCGCTGATTCTTCGCAGCTCATGGCAGAGGCCACAAACAAATTTCACATTACCCCAGACAAAGACTCCCTCACCAGAGTTCACGAATCTCTACACGCCCTACACCAAGCTCGGGCTCTCCGCCTCGACAACCAAACCACGATCCTCTCCTCGTTGTCGCGCAAACTCAACAAAGTCCACTCGTCGCACAATTACGATGTCGAACGCCACGATGCAGGCCAACACGCGCAGAATATGCTCAAAATGGACACTGAAAAGTTCCGGATCGCCAAAGGCGTGAATGATGCAGAAATTAAGAGCGAGAGATTATCAGGAGAATTGGCAGCGCTGAGACAGCAGCTAGAGACTTTGGAGAGGGAGGGTGTAGAAGGTGGAAGGAAGGCAGATATGGCGGAGGATGAGGTCGTCTTGAAACTGCAATTCTATCGGAGTCTGGGGATTGATGCGAGGAGGGACGAGGGAAATGGAGACTTCAAGAAGGCTGTGATCAGGAATGGGGACAGGGGAGATGTAACGGTTCTTGACCTGAAGGACGGCAGAGTCGACGTAAACGCGTTTTGGGACGCATTGTGAGTGCTGGGCGGGCATTTGCATTTGGGCTGGCGTACTGGCGTTGAGGAACCAAGATACCAGGTCTGTTTATCTATGACGGTACTCATGTCTTGCAACGAATATTTCACTCGGGATATCTGCATGCTCTTCGCCCCTGATTTTTCCATTTGAGCATTTGTCGAGTACTTTTATGTTGTTGCCATTCATCGCAGTCCATCTGGAGAACCATCTGCTATGCCAAGGGCGGATGAATCGGTGAACTGAAGTCACCCGCGGCTTGATCACCCTTAACCCCCACGGCCTCGTATTCTGGTCGACTTCACCTGTTGTTGTTTCCTAAGCTCGAATATTTCCCAATTTTCATACAATGTCGAGACGAATCTTGGTGCAGTGAGGAATGCTGTGTTTTCGAGATTGAAAGCTGCCAAGACAACGTGTCGACCAGGTCGCGACTCCCACTTCCAGGGTGCGAACGAGCAGAGCCAGATTGACTCGAGTAAAATACATTCGTACAGATACTTCCACTGCCCGAGTCTAGGATTTCCTAGCACAAGCACAATGCACCGAATGACAAGATCAACGCTGAGGGCGTCGAGGCGAACGAATCCGTCCATGCTGAGGTATCCGGTCGCCACTCAAGCAGCAGCCACACTGGCGTGAAAAAGCGCTCTCCTTCATGGCATTTCGTGGCTCCATGCGCTCAAATTCGTGGAGCACGAATTGCATCTCCTCATGCTCGGACTGACTGGTCTTCAAATTGCGTTCAAGTTGTGCATGTCATGCACATCCTGCGTGATGTCGCCGTCGCCGTCGCACCTCTCACCATTCACCGTCAAACGCCATCAAACGGTATACCAGATTTGGCTCTGCATTGGCGTCAAAGAGTTCCAGGCGGGCAAACAAAGTACGACGTAAGATCAGCACCGACATTCCGCTAGTTGGAGCTACCTCCGAGTGAAGGGCGTCTTCATGCGCTGTTGTGACGAGTTGCGAGCGCTGCGAAGAGCCCAGAAAGACCCAGACTGCGGCGTATCAACGGTGCTTCCGGAGTGTTGGAAGTTATGCGCCATCCGAACTCAATGTTATGCAATGCAATGTCACGCGTGTTGCAGCTTCCAAACGACGAAGACAACAACATACCGGGTCCTGCTTGACTCCACGCTGCTGACAAGATTGTGTCACAACAAGAGCCTGTGGTCGCATGTCACAGCAGACTTATGATGGTACCTCCATCTAATGGTCCATTTGCCCCTCATTTTACATTAACGGGCTCTATTCTGAGTTGAACACGGTATAACGGGACATCCGATACTGACCATCACCCGCCGGAATATATGCTGTGCACGGGCTTGGTATTCGTAAGGCTACGAACTCGTGGTCTTGGCGAGTTGCCATACATATGGCACTCGCTGGACCGCACCACACAGATTGTGTGGCTTGACATGCATTCGTCAAAGATTCGCTCCACCACAGCCTCATGAGATGGATGAGTCGTACAAGACCATCATGACAATACGGTGATGCCGATCACAAAGGAGAGACTCGGCATAAAAAGCAATGGCGAGTAAGCACATCTTGGCCAACAAAATCGTCTAGGCTCTAGCAGGCTGGGCCTACAGGGCCGCTTGGTCTGACGAAGCTTGGTTTGCAGAAATCATGTTGAGCTGGAGACCCTGGTAAGGACGTAAGAGGTATGGCAAGTACCGGACCTGCCGAATGGAGCGACCGTATCGTGCCGCACGCGCTGACATCGACTTAGCAGGCTGCAAGGACGGAGGATCTTGTCATTTTCTGACGAGACTTCATGGACTATGTGATATGACATGGTTGTGTGCTCGTTTCCGTGTACCAGCAATCCCAGTTTGGTCCTGCATTTGTAGCGTCTGGATGTCAACAGGGCTCTATTTGTTGTAGCCAAGCTTCAGCAAGCATCGAGGCGCCGGGGAATTCCACTATCGCAGGCCAGGCTCAGCGTGGCGAGCATAGGCTATTGGCGTTCGGTTCCTATTGCAGACGGACAGACTTCATCACAAAAGGATAAATCGGCAGCGAAACCCCTCTATCCCTACGACCGAGCTGAAGCTAGCTGAACTCTCGCAAGCGACACTGGCAGTGCATAGCGCGACCCTCTAAGGCTGGCATGCAAAGCTGCTCTGTCTTCCAAGTTCAAATGACTCAACGACATGGACTAGACATGGCTTCACTCACTAGCGGTATCGGAACGCTCCGATGTGTTGAAAGATGACACAAATGTGCGTCCAGCCCCGGTATTCGGGAAGAGGGCCTCAATTCGGTAACAGACTCACCAAATCCGCATGCCTATGTCGACCGAGAACGAGCTCAACGTGAACAGTCTCACTGCGCAGGGTCCCAGAATTGCCATCGGCAATAGTGGCAGTCACCTTCCCAGGAGCTGACCACAATTGCAAACTTACCTCTGCACGATTGAGCACACTGCAAGGCAACACGGGTCTTGATCCTGCTATCAAATTAGCTGCGACGAATACAGACACCGTCATAATCTCGTTGCAGCACGGCGCCAGTCTGCACGATGCCGCTGCAAGACCTTTCCGTCGAGATCCTTCACCTCATTTGCGAGGTCTGCCCCACAGACACACTCCAGGACTTGCGACTCACGTCTCAGAAGCTGTGCACTGTAGCCGATAAACATCTTCTGCCCGAAGTCGTGATCTGTTTGGAAGGCACAGATCTAAAACGGCTTCAGGGGATTTCCAAGAGCTCGGAAGGGATTCGAAATGGCATTAAATCACTCATCATCCAGGCCGACGCATGCGCCTATGCTACAGACGAGAATGAGCGATTCCCTTCTCTGCGGAAATGGTTGAACGATCGGACGGAATTCCTTCTGCAGTCGGAAGCTGAACTGCTCGAGCTGAGACGGACAATCGAGAGTCGACGACAAACGCGACAGCGAATCGATCTTCTAAAAAGGCTCGATCACTTCTTGGAACAGACACGAGCTTTACAGGACGATCCAACACTGGCCGAGACATATTATGCAGAATTCAGGCGCCAATACGTGTCACAAAAAAAGCTGTTCGGGATTCCCATTTCACAACAGACTCAACAAATGCCAGCTGTGATAGTGAGGCGAGTGATCAAGGACGCTCTCTCTCCGCTAATCACGAGCTGTGCCAACATCAGTAAGCTCGCCATAAATACCGAGCATGCAGTGCGACGGAACGCCGGCCTTGTGAACAAACCTTTCCTACAAAGCCTCACGATTCCGCACAGGTGTCCCGGCCTTGACTTGTTGCTAGCCATCTGTGAGGCGATTTGGCCTGTTGCTATCGAAGCCGGCTGGAAGGTCGACGACTGGAGTCTGACTGGCATAATACCGAGAAGCGTGCAACAGGCGACGCCCAACGAGGTCCGAGACGAGGAGCTGCCAGTATTCTTGCAATTCATGCAGAATTTCCGCAAATTCTCTTTATGCTTCAACGGCGCTAATGCCAAAGACGAAGACTATGATCGCGGGGTCGAGAGCCAATGGGCCTTCTACCGCGACGAATTCGCAGCAGGGTGTACGATTTACTGGCTGCCATGCATGCCGAAGATTGAGGAGTTCCGCTTGGTATATCCTGTCGCTCCGTTGGTGGATTGGCGGGTCGATATACGCGACGCGCTCCAGGAGAAGTTCATTCCCCATCTGACACTTCTCCACATCTCGAATTTCCAGTGCGATACAGAGGGTCTCGAGCGGTATCTCCTGCTGCATAAGGACACACTTCAGGATCTGAAGCTCTCCGACGTGCATCTCAGAGGCTCCAGTTGGCCAGCGTGTTTGACTGCGATTGCGGGAAGGCTTCCATGCCTTCGGCGCGCGAAGTTGGTTGCTCCACTTACAAGTCTTGATAGTGAGGTCGATGAAGAGATGGTGTATTATATTGGGCAATACATGCAAAGTAGCGCGCAAATCGAAGAGCATCAGAACGCGGTAGAACGCTACATCTTGACTGGTGAGGGTCCTGCTCCGAGTTGGACCGTGGAGGAGATGATTGAGACTGATGGAGAAGGCGATGAGGAGGGAAGCTTAATGGACTACAGCGAAGGGACGGCAAGTGAGAGGAGCGACGACGAGATGATGGATTGATGATACTGACGGTTGTCTGCGCCATGTTCTCACCAGAGACATGAGCGCTCAAGGAGAGGATTTATAGACTTCCGCATGCACAATTAGGGGACATCCTCTTATGGTTGTCACGGCGAATGATCAATTTATCACTCAGCCAGCGTAGAATCCACTCTTGAAGAAAGTGCTCAGCCACATCAAGCCCATGGCATATCCTGGCCAGAAGCGGTCCTCTACCACTGGACATCGGCAAATACAATCATTCGACACAATCTGCTCGAGGCTGGGCTGACTGAAGAAGAAATCGGTGCAACCCGTGTGTGGCCTCAAGCGTTCCTCTGCAGTCTGCTGGATCTCTCACTGAAACGCAAAGAACGTGCCGATGGCTTGCATAGAACAGATCAGCAGCTAACTATCGATCAGGCGCGCGCCGACTTCATGAGCGGACAGCTGAGCAACGAGCATATCCTGTACCAGCTGAGTAACCGCAATCTAGGTCCTCGCATCATCTGTACCCCGATGCCGAAAGCTCTGGAGGCTCTGAGGTCGATCGTGGTCCGCTGCATCGACACAAGCGCAGAGGAGAAGTATTTCGGACGTGAGTCCAACACCAGGTAAGTTGTCAAGTTTTTACTGGTGCGAAAGCGAAAAGCGGCGAGAGTGGCGGCAGTGGTAAGGGCATTGGCATTGGCAGCGATTCCTCATGGCATACAAGGTACACCAAGCGCACAAGCGACCAGAAGTCGAGGGAAGAGGTTACGAGTGGTCATCAGAGCGACTACAGTGAAGAACGGCGACCTCACAGTAGTAAGGCAATCATCGCAAAAACCGACCCCACAACACCACCTTGCGCAACCACCATACCTGAAGCAGTTCCACTCGACGTCTCGGCTGCCGCACTCTGCGTCCTACTCGCAGTTCCCATCCCACTTGCCCCCGAAGTCCCCGTGATAAGCGTCACACTCGCCGTCGTCGTCTCACTCGCTCCCGCCGAAGCACTCATCGTCCCCGCCCCCGTCTCCGCCGCCCCTCCACCTCCACTCAACTTCTCCACACCCCACGTAACAGTAACAGCAAAAGTCTCCGCATCATCATAAGTCGTCGTGCTCATTCCCGGGAAATTCGCTCCTGGTCCCCCAGCACTTTCCGTACAAACTGATTGCGCGACGTTGCAGTCTTGATACCCAGTGAAATCTGCATCTGCGCCCATTGTCATGCGGTAGCTTGAGGGGCCGTAGGTCAAGATTTGGGTTGGGAAGAGACCGCATTCTTCGGCGGAGCTGGGGCAGGCGAGGGTCATTGTTGTGAGGGAGTCTTGGACGCCGAGGACGGAGGCGTCGATGGAGAAGGTGTCGTAGCCGTAGAAGGGAACTTGGAGAGTGGTTGTTTGGGACATGGCGAGTGGGAGTATGCTGAGGGTTGTGATGGATTTGGGAGGCATTGTTGTTTTCTGCTCTTCGCGTCGAAGTTGTGCTTAAAATCGGACTTGATGGAGTGCCTTCTTGTACACAGTGTTCTCTTCCGTCTCTGGAGCTTATTGCTTTCTGGCCTGCTTGTTGTTCTTGACGGAATTTCTTTTGGCCTGTCGATGTAAAGAGGAAGTATTTGATGAAACATTCCTCGAACCAAATTATGAGAAAGAAGTCACCGCTTACCTCACCATCACCAATCATGGCTCCAAAATCTAATCTTGGTGCCGTGAAAACGTCTTTCCGGACCACTTGTGTTACTCTCTAGCCTCTTCTGGCGAATGTGGCGCTGCGAAGGAGTCAGGGCGATTGGTGCTTGATCCTCCAAATCTCGGCTCGGCATGAGCTTGGCGCGCTCCGCGGACAGTGGCGATGAAATGTTGAGACTGAGAAACAGGTGTCAAAGCATTATAATGCATCTTTTGTGCCTTTCACTCTGCACTGCGTCTGCTATGATTTACAGACCCTTGGGTATATGCTTTCCTGACATTCCCTCAAACGCCGCTCTTGAACGCTCAAATAACAAAACAAACAGATTCGGGATCTCTAAGGATTCACCTTGATCATAACCGCCTCACTAGGAACGCCGTTGACCATAGCGAACAACATGTATGTCCCAGGCAACATCACGCCGGCATCAGATGGTAATCGGTAAGACCTCGAACCATCTTCGTTCTCCGCATGGTCGTTCAAGGGCACTCTTCTCGAGTCCGTATCGACAGAATGCGTTGCAGTTCCGAGTCTTAGCATGGCTGCAGTAACCTCGCCTTGCTTGACGCGGTCTGGCTTTTGTACTTTGAATCGCACTTCTTCGCCCACACGAACGGTCTTTGAATGTACATCTGTGATCATGGGACGAGCGGCTAGTGTTTTCCCATCTTTCTCGAGCAGGTAAGGAGGAGTGTATATCTGAAAGTCGAGATGGTTCTCTTCCTTTGCGCATTGGCTGCAGAGGCCGCCTCCGCCAGAGAAGATGGTACCATCAGGCAAGAGAGCAGCAGTAGAATGGTACCCGCGAGCGATGCCCGGATCGGGAAGGAGTGTGAACATCTCAGTCGCAGGATCGAAGAGCTCGGGCACTGTAACTGCTCGGAAATCGCTGAACGGACGGGAATACGCTTGTCCACCCAAGATCATAATTTGACCATTTGGCATCGTGACAGCATTTGCAAAAACCCGAGCTCGATTCATGCTTGGTAATTTTCGGACCTTTGCTTCACCACTAGGTGAATCGATGTTGATAATGTGGGCATGGTCCACGGCCTCTGCTTCTTCGTAATCTTTGGCACCACCTGCAGTAAAGATGCTTCCGGTAGTCGCGTCGTACATCTGAAAGACTCCGCACATTGCATCCGTGTCGTCTCGTGTTCCAGCAGGAGCATGACTGCCTTGCCCGCTTGTGTAGTACCAGTTCATATTCATGCTTGGTCCTGCCTGGAAGACTGAGCGATCCTTCCACGACATCAGCCAAGCATGATTATCAGAACGATATGCTCCTTCTCTATCAGCAGTTTGCATTGGATCAGCTGGGCAGCCTTCCAAGATAGTCCACTCATTTGTGGCAGGGTCATAGATTTCGCCTGTCTTGTTGCCTTCTTCGCCGGATCCGGGACCAATGATGATACTGCTCCATGATCCACCGATGGTGAATATTCGACCATCTGTCAAAGTCACTTGTGACTGATATGCGCGAGCAATTTGCATTTCTGGAGCTTCGTAAAACCCATTGGTCGCTTCAGCATGCATGCTGACTTTCTTCGCTGTTGATCCTCCTGTGACAATAATTGTACCATCGAACCCCGTACTGATACCAGGACAGAACATGTCATGGTGAGTGTTGTTCACTAATAGCTCGCTGATCTCTCCAGTCTTGGGGTCCCAAGTGGCTGACCATGTTAGGCCAAATTGTCCGATGCTATGTGTATGTTTTCGTCCGGAAGCCCAGGCAAGTAACTTCCCACTTGGCAGAACCGCTATTGCTGTCGGTACAAGCGGAAATGGTATGCTGCTACTCCAGGTTCCGAGGTTTTCTGCTGTGACTGTGGTACTGAGGCTTGCTATTGTCGCCAAGGCGAATCCTGTTATGCTGTTGAGCCGAAACATCCTGCTAACAGGAAGAGAAAGAGAACAAGAGAAACGTTGCGAGCAAACGAGGGCCTTTCTGTAGGGTCATGAAAGTGATACAGCGCTATGCCCTCTCGTCAAGCTGGTGAAGTGCTCGAACTTTGAATGAGACATGCTCTCCTGGATCGCCAAGCCACGTTGTCCAGACCGTTTGTGCAGTTCTGGCACGCTAATGGTTATCCGGACGCCACCCAAACCGATAGGCGGCGATGGTCACGGAGTTGCCGCATCTGTCACTTAAACCGTAGATGGCATCTCATCCACGAGTTGGTAGATGCAAAGCCGATTGAGGGACTATCATGGGTAGGTATTCGATTCGGACGTTAGCGAGCTTCATATAAGACTGCATGTTCGACAAAATTGTCTCCTCTTATAGACTATGGCCGGTGGCTTCGGCCACGGAGAAGTGCGTAACGCCAGTCGATAAAACGTGCGGCTAATATTCTTCGCCGAACACAAAGGCACCAGCGGGCACAGTGCGATGTGCTGCTCCAGTATGGAGCTTGCAACAGGGCGCGTAGTTCGCCGCGGCATGATACTGTCATGTTTGTGGTCGCGAGAATGCGTTCGCAGAGTGATACACGTGGCTCGGGATGAAATCGATTCATTTGGTGTTGATGATTTTGAAGTTGAGATGGTCGTTGATTCTCGGGCAGAAAACGGCAGCAACTTGCCAAGCCAAACGGCAAGAGCAGTGACACTTTGGATCGCCTTCCCGCTCCATGTTGCAAGCCCTCCTCGTCCGGCATCCAATACTACGGCGTCAAAGGCACGATCGTCCCAAGATCATCCTAGGCCCACAAATCCTCGATATAAGAAATAGGACGCGTGACACACTGCGCATAACACCGTAAATGTACATGTCTCATTTCCCCTGCCTACTCTTCGACTACTATCCTCTCACCTTCCTGTAACTCTCTGGCTTCACGTACTGCCTGATAACTTTACCACCCCAAACAGGCACCAATGCAGCTCCCAGAATCGCTGCAAACCTCCACACGAAGCCCAAACTCCATATGAAGCCGAGATCGAAATATTCGCCCAAAAATGGTACACTCACCAAATAAATTACGCTTGTGCTCACGATGCTTGCAATCATAATCCAATGCCATGTCGTGATTTCCGCAGCCACCATGCACAATTCATTAATGATGAGAACGCTGTATGACACAGCGACCATCTTCTGGAAACCGGGTGTGTTGATGGGAGTGTAATCCGGATTGGCCAAAGCGGCAGAATTGTTGGCGGAAAAGGAGGGCACGAGGAGCTCGGCGCCGCCTTGTATGATCAGACCTTGATAAACGGATATAGCGAGCCAAATGAAGAACGTTTTATATGAGAGCGACTTTCCAAGAGTGAGTTCTTTGTAGAGTTCGGGATAGAGGTTCGCAAGACCTTCATCGACATCTTGGTCCAGTGTCAGGGAGAAGACGGGCATCATGGTGTATATTGTGGCGTAGCCGACCAGGAGCCAATCGCGGTAGAGGGCGATAGGTTCGAATTTGGAGGCGATGCTGAACACGGTTTGACAGATGCTGATGATGAGGCCACGATGCATGACGAATTGGGCCAGTTTAGCGCTGCGGCGGTAGGAGTTGCGGCCGTGCCAGACGAGGAGTTTGGTGAGGTGGGCGAATTGTTCGATGCTGAAGTCGGCCGCGAGAGAGGCTTGCTTGCCCTCCTTGCCCACAATACCCACGCCGACGTCTGCAGCTTGGATCATGGAGACATCGTTGCCACCGTCGCCGATGCAGGCGATGCGCTTCTTGGTATAGGCGCGGATGAGGTGCGCGATATCTGCCTTCTGTGTGGGAGAGCAGCGACAGGCTATGACGGCAGGAAGGCGAACAGCAATGCTGATGAAGGCATCCTTGTGGTGTTGTAGGTAAATGCCCAACGACTGTCCATCGATGAGGAGCGCAGCATTGGTCTGGTTCTGAATCGTACTCAGCGCGTCGAGAGCGGCGTCACGACGTTTGAGCCCAGCAATGGTGTGAATGGTCTGACCACGAGAAACGAGCTTGGACGAGACCGCTACGCATCGAGCTGTCTCAACCTTATCGCCCGTCAACATCCAGATCTTGATGCCGGCATTGCGGAGAAGCTCGAGCGAAGGCTTGACTTTGGGTTGTAACTTGTCTTCCACGCCAGTCACACCAAGAAGATTGAGATTGTGTTCCAAGTGCTGCCTTACGACCAAAGCCATGGCCGCGTCTCGTCCGGCAAGACTGAGCGAGGCTTCTGCGTAGGCATCCGAGAAGGCAGAATATTGCTGCGCAGTCAGAGGCTTCCGACCAACAACAAGTGTTCGCAAGCCCTCCCGCGCCATATTGCCCGTCTCTTCCTCAAGCCAGTCGTTCGCAGCAACGATGGACGTCATGACTGTGTCAGCGCCTTTTTGGTAGAACACGATCTCGCCATCCTCGTCTTTGCTCAAGCCAGAACTGCGAATGAACCGGACAATAATGCCCATGCGTTTACTGTCGCTGGTGAATGGGAAGACATTAAGCACTTCGACACGCACCACAGTCCTGTCATCGCCAGTATACTGCAGTGTGATTGACTTGCGATCACGGTGCTGCAAGCGTAGGCCAACACTCTCAGTCCACTCCACGATCGCGATCTCGTCTGGCGAAGATGCCTGGTACGAGACCTTAGGCTGCCCATCGTCGTTTTCCTCGGTGGTTGGCGTGACGTTGTGGCATAGAGCCAAGGACAGCACGAGGTCGCGGACGCGCAATCCGATTTCTCGTCGCGTTCGTGTGGCACCACTCAAAGAATTGATGCCTGCTGAAGGACTGAACAAGGCGCCAGCGGGTGCATCCTCTGCAGCCGAGAAGGCCTGCGTGACATAGCCGACGACTTCTTCCATGGCATCTCCGCCATAGCTGACAGTGCCAACATGAACTTTGCGCAGTTCCATCTCATTCCGGGTTAGTGTGCCGGTCTTGTCAGACAACAGATACTCTATTCGTCCGAGATCCTCAGGAATGGTGCTCGTTCGCACGACAGTGCCTGGTATGTCCGTGTCGTGATGGATGAACCAGGCATAGACGCTCTTGCCCAAGTCGAGGTTGACACGCAGAGAGATCGGCACGATCGTGCTGAACAGGATTAAAAATCGCATGGTAGCGATATACCACTTCCTGCCATCATGTTCTTTGAAGCCGTGAATGGCGACCAAGATAAAGCTCAAGGCGGCGGTCAAAATGCAAAGGATCTTGACAAGGCTATTAATTTCCAATTCGAGGAGACCTGTTTTCGAACGCGAAGCAGAAGTCGAAAGCGCGGCACGAGTCTGTGGCCCAGTATATATGACGACGGCGTGTACCGTCGTTGATGAGGCGAGTACTGTATTTGCCCACGCTGTGTTGTCAATGTTCAAAGGAGTCGATTTGGTCTCCGTTGCCCGAACGTCTTCCGGCCCATCCTCTGGATGCGGGTCGTAAGCTCTGTGCTTCTTTGGCTCCAGTTCAATGGTGCCCACAAAGTCATTGACTCGTTTGTCTGGTTTGCCGGCGGTCACTCGCAACCTGAGATACTCGGATGCGGGCAATGTCTGCGCAAGTGGTGTGGCCAGGCGCAGCTTCCAGTCGGTCTCTCCATCCAGCTGATCAGTACGAATGAAAGCTTCACCTCCGCCACTCGGATCGGATGAAGTGGTCTCGTTGCTCAATTGTACACCTTGAATAGACTGACGTTGTAGACGTGGGCTGACAGGTGCAGCGTTCTCGCCCATATCCACAAGCGCTTCTTCGACCGTCTCTTGTCGAGGTTCTGCCTCTGTCTGAACGGTTTCTGCCGAGAAGCTCTTCAGGATGACCACATCTGCAGGCACTCTTTGATCCTTCTCGAGCACAATCACATCACCAACCTTGAGCTGGGCCGATGGTTTGATGATTTCAGCAACGTTTGACGAAGGGGCGTCTACATTCTGTGTGCTGTACTCTTCGTCCTCGGCCTGCTGTAGCCTTGCATCTTCTGCTGACACTCTTCTGCGCTTCCCTTTCTTCTTTTTCTCTGTTATGCTCTTGATCTTCCTTTTCTTGCTGCTAGCGTCCGTATCGGAGAAGCCAGGACTGTCGAATCGCAGCACTCTGTAAGGCTCACTGTTGGCTTCTCTGTCCCGTTTCCTCCTACTCAGATCGTCGAACGCCTCTTTACTAAGGGTGATCATGAGTACAAAGGCAAGAGGCGCGATGTACGTCGAAAGGTAGCCGATTCGGAGTGCGGGAATGATTTGCGATAATGCGACGAGTAGGAAGTACATGTTGAAGAAGAACTTGAACTCATTGAAGAGTGTTCTCGGCAAGAACGACCAGGGCGTGTATTTTGCATTCGATATGGCATTCGCTGGGAACCGCGCCGGTTGCTTCTGCCCCACAGCAATATTTCTGGCGCTCGCTGGATCATGATCATCTTCGGCCTCGTCTTCACTTATTGCCGGCAGCTGTATGGAGGTTGATCGGTTCATGAAAGGCACATATTGCCAGATGCCTTTTGGTCGGCGATTGTCGCCAAAACGGTTGGATCCGAGCTGCGAGAACTTCCGCGTGCCTCCATTCTGCTGTGAAAGCAGCGGCGCATCATCGTATGCAGACGCTCCTGAGCTGGCGGTCGACGGCTTCGGTCCATCTTCATCGTCCCCTACCAGCGCTTCCAGATCTTCTGTATCTTCGTTGCGCGGTCTCCGTCGCCCTCCAAAGCGCAAATTTCGCAAAGGTATTCGCGCAGCAAAGTCATGGCTGATGCGACCAGAACTCGGCTGGCGCGAATGAGATGGTGTACGGTCGGTGACAGGATGCGGATCAAGCTCATTCAGGTCGAGGTCCAAATCCGAATCGCGATCGTCATCATGGAGGCCGTCCTGTTCGTGAGGCTTGTGGTATCCGTTCGGCGTGGTCATGCCTCATTGCATAGGGTGAGGATGGTTCGGGGAATTCGCGAGAGAACGATGGTGAAAGACGGTGTTGGGCGCGGGACGCGTGGCTATTTGTTCAGTGCTTCTCTGTGGTCATGTGCTCGTCGGCCGTTCCCGTTCGTGAACACGTCGCTCGTATAGGAAATGGCTACAGGAGAGAGGAGGAATAGTGCTGCCTCTGTTGGAGCCCTATCGTGCTGCGCTGCACATGCTTTGGGGAATGGCGCGTTGGCGGACCGGCCGATCATCCACATGCACAGCTTACCACCACCAAAGAAAGCACACCACGCTCGTCGGCCTCTCCTATTCTGCCTGTTCTATTCTTCATCCCCTTCTCCGCCAGCTCGACGATATTCGCATCACCGCCATTATGACCTTTATGTATGAGTAGACTTCTTTCGACTTCGATTTCGCGTGGGCGCATTCTTGCTTTGGTACGTCAGACTTTCCGCTTCCAGAACGTGGCCTCGGAGCTCGGGGCCTGTTCAGAGACACGCTTCCTCAGCCCGGACGCGATGCGCACCACCCGCACCACCTCCATTGTACCACCGCCCCTCCCCATCTAACGCCATGCGCTACAGTAATTCCATCGTCGTGACCGTGAGCACGTGCTAGTCCGCCATGACCGACGACGACTACCCCAACTTCGGCAATGCCTGGACCAGCACGGCCTCCAACACGGCCTCAGCTGGACCACCCCCGGGCGAGTCAGCATGGAATCCAGCGCATCGTCCCGACTCAGACCAGCGACACGCGAGAACAACTTCGACTGTAGACGCCGATTTCTTCCATCAATTATCCGAGCCCGCAACCGAGCAGACGACGGAGGAAGTGGCAATGGACGAGGTCGCGGACAAAGCACAGCATGGGTCGGAGCAGAAGGCGCCGAGCATAACTGTGGACACACGGAGCGTAGAGCTCGGTGGGTCTGAGGAAGTGGTGGACTCTACAGGACCATCAGCGAATGCCGGGGAGCCCATAAGACGAGGAGAAGCGGACGGCGGGAGTGAGCCGAGTCCTCCAAGCACGGCCATCGAAGAGATTTTGGGAGACGACGAGGCGCCGATATACAGTTCGAAGCAGACTGCGCAGAAGCAGGAGGAGGAGCTCGAGCAACATATGTCTGTACCTGACCGTGAACCCCTTTACATCAGCTCGCCGGGAGATCAAACACCCATCTCCCACGAAGCCGAGATCGAGAGTGAGCTGGCCAGATACCATGAGCAGAGCGAGTCATACGAGCATCAAGGCGATTTGACACAGATGGAAGAGGCCGTAGACGAAGCTCCCACCGCATCCCTACTGGCCGACGAAGAAGCGCCGCCGACAGTGGATGAGGTGCAGGACGAGAGGACACCACACATGCAGGCAGTGCAAGAGGACTCTGTACTCGAAGACTTCGACGGGACACCAGCATTCGGATCACCTCTTCCCAAAGCAAAGGCCAGCGTTGGCCAGATTGACCGGAGCTTCACCACCAATTTCACTGAGATTCCGGCAGCAGAGGAGGAACAAGAGCAAGAGCAAGAAGAAGATCGGCCGGACAGCTCAGAGTGGCCATCAGCAGGAGACGACAAGACGTTTGGTGAATTGCTGGATAACGAACAAAGCGGAATTATACACGTGAGGGGCTTCTCAGTGGACCCAGTATCGAAACCTGAATCAGACCCGTGGGGCGGCACCGACGACGATGACAGCTTCAATGAGCTTTTAGGGAGCTCGCACGGCCAGTTCGCGCAGGACGTGCCAGTCGCGCAGGCCGAAGAAGTGTCTTCCGTAGAGGCTCCAGTGACTGCGCCTGAGGACAAGACGGAGGATGACTTGGCAGCTGCCTTTGCCTCAGTACTGCTGGACGACGACCTGCTGGAGGATCCGAAGGATATGGACATGTCTGCTATTTTCGGGGACGACGATCCTGGGTTTTTGGACGACGAGCTGCTCACAGACTCGCAGCCTTCCGCACCAGCGCCAATCCTTCCTCCGGCACAATCGACACAAACGCAACGAGGGCAAAGCCCGTACGTACCTGCGACAACACAACAAATGGGGGCCCAACCAAACTCGTATGCTGCACCTGGTGCTCAATTTGTGCAGCAAAATCATGGCAGATCAGCTGGGACACCGTCGACCGGCCTCTACGATGTCTATGGACATGGCTCTGTGCAATCGCAGCAACAACAGCGTCCTGCCAGCCATTCAGCTCAAAGTTTCGTCGACAAGGCAAAGGGAGGATATCAGTCGCCTTACGATCTGCCCATGGAGGTAGTAAAGCCGAAACAACGCCCACGGCAATCACCTGCCCAAAACCAAGCTGCTCCTGTGGCTCCTCCGAGAAGCAGCAGTATTTCTTCATACCAAGGACAACCGTCGCTCCAAAGAGTGCCCACTGGCCCACCACTAAGCGGTTCCACACCACCACCACCAAATGCCGGAGTTGCTCCCCCAGCATCGACAGGCAGTTCGCAACCTCAAAAGCCTTCAGCATCCGGCAATGGTTTTTTCGAAGACCTGCCGATTGTCCCAAAGACAAAAGCACGGCACTCTGGAGCATACACTCCTCAGCTGTCTTCAACGTCCACTCCGCCAGCTAACCAGATGGCCCCTCGTGGACCATCTGCGCCGCAGATGCAAAGACCACAAGGTCCCCCGACGCCCGCTCATCATTCCTCTTATGGCAATCTGCGGCAGCCAGAAAAGTTGCCATTGCATCCTGACCAAGTCGCGGGACCAACACCCGCACAAACTCCATCTATGCCTCCGGCGAGCCAGCGTTACTCCCCAAGCTCGTTACCCGCACCCGCACAAAATCAGAATCGATTCTCTCCCGCGCCTCCCTCGCAAGCGCCACCTACAGCCGGAACTCGATATTCGCCTGCGCCCGCAGCGCAGGTGACTGCAAAGAAGTATGCGCCTGCATCCACAACAGCTCAAGGGATTCAAAGCACTCACGCATTTGCACCTCGAACAAGCAGTCCTCTGGCGTTCCATGGCAGGCCGCAGGCAGACTCACAGGGCCCTCCGTCGATATCTTCATCGCCGCCAAAGTCAAACGGCAGGGCCTCTCCAGCAATCCTATCACCGCCCAGGTCTGGCAGCATGGCATACTCTCCGAGCGAGTCGAGGGCTACATCACTCAGCAATTTTGCCTCGCCACCACAGAATATCTCGATGCAGCCTCCTCCAGTGCAAACGAGGGTTTCAAAATACGCTGCAAAAGTACCCACGGAGATGCCCACTTCTGTCATAGCACCAGCCGCAGCAACATCATCTTCGCAAAAGCGTGCATTCTTGGCGCATCGCAGACAGTTTTCACGCGACCTGGATTTTGTGGCACCGCAAGATGAGCATGCTCATGATCCGTTGCAGAGGTGGAAAGGACATCCGATCTTCACCTGGGGCGAATCTGGTATCGTGATCAGCAGTTTCCCGAAACAGACGCCCTTCTATGCGGCTGGTCAAGGGGTGCCCAGCATCAAGAGTACGCCAGGTTCGATTACTGTACAGCAAGCTACAACTTTTATGCCCATGGACGAATTGAGTGCGAAGTTCCCAGGACCATTGCCAACCAAGGGCAAGAAGAAGAAAGATGTCCTAGCATGGATGACGAGCAAGATTGAAACTCTTCAGCAACACGCAGAGGCTGTACGCATGGACTTTGACATCGAACCAGATTTGAAGAAAAGAGTGCAGGAGAAACTCGTTTTGTGGCAAATCATGAAAATCTTTGTTCAGCATGACGGAAAACTGGAGGGCGACAAGAAGATCGAGGAAGAAATCCGAGCTGTGCTTCTACCGAATTTGGCACAGATGGGCCAAGCGATGGAACTGCAAAGCCCCGTCAACACGCCTGGAGCTGGTCCTCAGGCTGAGCCTCTGGACAGAGTCGTCATTTTACAACTTCGACAAGCACTTCTTGAAGGTCAGCGAGAACGCGCCGTGTGGCTTGCTGAGGAGAAGAAGTTGTGGGGGCATGCCATGCTCATCGCCTCCACCATGGGCCCCGAGACATGGCAGCAAATCACCCAGTCATTCGTTCGCTCGCAAGTGAAGACCGCTGGCAGCGATGCACGCAGTCTTGCTGCACTATACCAGGTGTTCGCGAACAACGTTGAGGAGTGTGTGGACGAGCTCGTTCCACCCTCTGCTCGTGCGGGCTTCCAGATGATGTCAAAGACCGAAGGTGCGGTGTCCAGAAATCCTCTCGAGGGTCTCGATCAATGGCAAGAAACTCTTGGCCTTATCGCTGGCAATCGTACGCCTGCAGATGGCAACTCATTACTGGCTCTCGGCAAGCTGCTGAGCAGCTACGGGCGTGCAGAGGCTGCGCATACGTGCTTCTTGTTCGCGCGCGTATTGACAAAGCACACTGGGGCCGATGATCCAGAAGCCACTTTCGTACTACTTGGCGCGAACCATCAACGGCAAGACGAGAGCTTTGGCAATGATCTTGACTCCATCATACTCACAGAAATCTACGAATGGGCAAGCTCGTTCTCACAGCAGCGAGCTGAGTACACGCCACACCTACAGCCCTTCAAGCTGAAGCACGCGCAGGAACTTGCTGCAGCAGGCCTGAAAAACCAGGCCCAGGCATATTGCGACCACATTGCCAAGGCGTATCAGTCTACGACGAAGCCATCTCAGTACTATCATCCGACCTTCACACAGACCGTCGCCGACCTCAGCGCTTTCCTGTCGCAGACGCCCCAGAGCGGTCCGCAAGGCCTGCTGTCCAAAGTGTCAAGCGCCAAGGTGTCCTCTAGCGCATCAAGCTGGTTCACCAAGTTTGTGGCAGGCGACGATGACCAGGCCTCGAATGCATCTGGTGCCGGTAGCGACACAGCAGGACCATTTGGCGGCGTGACTGGCGATTCCCCTGACATCAGTCGTGTTGGCTCCTCGTCAGATATCAACCAGATGTACAACCCGATGATGGGAGGCATGCCAGCTTATGGTCAACCAGGCATTTCTGCGCTCACACAGCAGTTCCAGCCTTCGTCCGCGCCCATGCAGCAATTCCAGCCATCCTCGGCGCCAAACAACAGCAGATACGCACCTGGGGCTGCCAGCAAATACGCCCCCATGTCAGCAGGTAGCATGGGCTCCAATGACCAAAGACCTGGTACGTCTTCATCACGGTCGTACGCGCCATCTCCTCAACCTTTGGCTGTTCCGCGACCGGAACTTCAGAAAGCTGCATCTGATTACAGCAACGACTCGCGACCAGGATCCTCACATTTCTCGAGTGGTAGCTACGAGCCGAGGCCTTTACTGAGCGAGCAGCCCATCTCGCACTCATATTCACCACTGGTGCAGCATCAAGAAGCGTCGTCTTACAGCCCACAGCCACCTTTGGACGACAGGTCAAACGGAGACTCACCACAATCGGGCATGCCTGATGCCGAGGGCGGTGGCTACATGCCGCCCGCTGCCAACAGCTATGACCCGGGCAACGGATATGGGTATGAACCACCTGCCTACGTGCCTTACGAGCCTGAACCAGATAATGAAGACGAAGGTGAGAAGCCCAAGTCTAAGCCCAGACGGAGCATTATGAATGACGATGACGACGATTTGGCCACACGCGCTGCAGCACTCAAGATCTCTTCGCCAGCTCCGTCATCATCAATTTCGAAGTCGGAGGCGGATCGCATCGCGGACGAGGCGTTCAAGAAAGCTGCCGAAGCTGACGCAGCACGAGACGCGCAGAAAAAGGCAGAGAAGAAGGGCTGGGGCATCGGACTTGGAGGCTGGTTCGGTGGCAAGAAGGGCGATCAAGGCATCCCGCAACAACAGTCCGGACCCATCAAAGCCAAGCTTGGAGAGGAGAACTCGTTCTACTTTGACAAGGACCTTGGCAAATGGGTCAACAGGAAAGACCCTAAGGGCTCAGATAGCGCCGCAGCTGCCACACCTCCTCCGCCAAAGGGACCTCCCAGCAGAGCAACTAGTGGCGTGATGGGTCCTCCTTCTGGTCCACCCAGTCGTGTCAGTTCAGGGTCCGGTATGCCTCCACCACCCGCGAAAATGCCACCTACGCCTTCAATCCCGGGATCGGGTCCTCCTTCGCGAGTCGGTACCCCAGCGGATGGAACTGGGGCTTCTCTTATGAACCCTGCGGTTAGCGCGCTGAATGGTGGGCTTCCGGGCTCGACACCACCGAGTCGACCGGGCACGAGTTTGAGCAATGCTAGCAGTATTGATGATTTGCTTGGTGGACCACCGGGTCCGCGAAAAGCTGGTGGGACTGTCAAGAAGGGGAAGAAGGCGAATCGGTATGTGGATGTTATGGCGAAGTGAAAAGGAAGAGATGGTTGTGTCAGGTGATCATGGTGATGAAAGAGGCTTGGAGTCATGAGATGTCATGTCTCGAGACCTCATTTTTGTGGATGCTTGAATGAGACATGTGTGGAATGTTGTGAGCATGGGACTTGGGCGCAAAATTGGGTCGCTTTTGCAATGTCTGGCATATCTATATGGTGTCTCGTTTTGGGGAGTCAGAGTCTGTGTAGGATACGACTGGGCGTTTCTTGGGAAAGCATGGGCTGCGTCATGAGAGATGGACGTGAGAGAAAGAGACCGTGTTGTAGAATAGATGAGCGCATTATTTGTCGGCGGTGGCTCGCAAACGCATATACTACATACTACTACTACTAATTGTTACGCACATGAGAACTGAGTATCATGAGTGTCTCCTCCGATCTCAGGCGCGAGGCGAGGAACGGGTTCTCTAACTTGCTGCCTTGAATGAGAGACGGGTCAAAGGCACTGTGTCTCTGAAGAAGTGATAAGGTTAAGGGTCTTTTTCTCACTGCCACGTTTGAGAATGTCAAGTGTCGCGCGACGCGGTTACGGGTGGATGGTGATGGCGACAGGCACGGGAAATGACGTTCTCCACCTTTTTTCTTTCCTGAAGGTGTGCGATATTTGGTGATGAGGATCAGCTTCAAGTCTTCCTTGACGTTACATCTCCGCCATAAGCGCCAAGTTCCTTTTCAGACATGTTAAGCAGAATTGCTACGCGGCATCTTACACTTGGCTGTACATAGAGTTGAATTTCTGTGGCAGTGTAGCATAAAGCATGAATCATGAATGCTTTTGTCAGTCGGCACTCGGCTCATGTCTACGTGGTAGCCGTTCTAGGCCTTTGGTTACAGGGCGGTGTGACTGGGTTGGACTTGTTGAAAGCCCTGACTGGGTCAACTTTAATGTCCGCTTTGAGATGTGGTTTTTCGTTGGCCTAACTAGCGCTTGGTCAATAATCAGCTGGCTGGCGGGTGTTGGCGGCTGAAGTTGGGTTGGGCTTTGGAAGGGATACTTGAGCGAGGTGGAAATTTTTGACAGAGCAGGTGATTTTGCATATGGTCTTGTGATGATGATGTGTATAGGACGTTTCGCCTACTGTACAGCAGTATCGCTATAGGCGTTAAACGAAATGTGCTGAGTGGCTGCTTTCTTCAAGTATAGTGACGTCGATCATCAGTCGAGGGATGCCGATCCTGGTCGCGTGAGCATGGTCGTCTTCTGTATAGTGCTGTATACTACTACTTATGCAGCTACTCAGGTTGTCGTTGGCAGCCTTGTGACCAGTCGTTGCGGACTGGCTGACTTGAACTTCGGCTCTCCACATCTTGGCTCTCAGCTAGGCTACGATTCTCACCCGAGTTGGTACGACATGGCGTGAAGCGAAGTCGCCTTGTAGACGACTAAGACTATGGGCGTGCAGTCAAGCAGCAGCGTGGCTGATGGTTTGGCTGGCGGATCGTGGAGTGCCGGCAGGAGGCTGCAGATCTCTCCGACGTCTCTTCTCGCGCATGTGTTCGATATGACGACAGTGGACTCTTCTGAGCGAGCGAGAGAAGACGGTCTGGAGAGGGCCAACTGGTTCGCAGCGAGTGGTTGGTCGGAGTGCGCTGCCGTCCTTTGACGTGGACATGCCCGTTTGACAATTTGACAACGCATCTCTTTCTGGCACCGGGGATGCAACTCAGTTGATTCCGACCTCGGCAGGCTCTTGTGCAAGCGCCGTGTCAGAATGATTCAAGCGGCCTCCACTCGCCGGAGAACAGCCAAGCTTCTCGCCCGACTTCACTCTCTTCCTCACGAATGGTCAGCTTCTGTACGGCTCCTGATGCTGCATGACGATCGCAACAAGACGAAGTGTCCGCTCAGCTGGGCCGCGAGCCGCTCTCCCATTCCACGCAAGTCCTCCTTTCGCTGCCGCGCCTGCACAGCTGACTGCCGATCTGCCTCCCTACTAACGGCCTACAGCCACATCCTTCCACCGCAGCACTCTACAGTACCCTCGAACAGCACACCAGCAATGACGCCCGCTCTCCTACGCTCCTCCAGGCGCCTGGCGCGGGCCAAGCCCTCCACGCCTGGCTTGACTGCTACGAAAGGGATGTCAAGACGGACATCTCGGAAAGTTGTCCAACCTGTTCCCGCATTCGATACCCTGGTGCCGAGCAAAACTCAGCCTGCTCAGGTGGTATTCGTAGGGGATCCTTGTGACAACACCGACGTCAGTGCTCCCCATTCCCACACTCACGCCCAGCCCAGCAACAATTCTGGCCCTGGTGCATCATGCGTGCAAACATGCTCGGCGAATGTGGAGAGACACCACCTTCACCAACCGGATCTACGCTGCTGATGCTGCCGTGACCGTTTCTCGTCGTGTGCTGTACATCTGGTATAAAGACGCCCAGCCGTTTACCCAAACCGCCCGTTCCAGTCCAAACTTCACTGAAGATCAATCAATTTTTAGCCTCGCTCGTATACCACCCTAGCGGAGAATATCTCCTTGGCTCAGAGTTTCTACTACCCGCTGCTGCTGCGCAATCTTACCTATACTGGCAGTTTCACCACACACCTTATTACCACGAGGCCGGCCCTTCCCACAACTGCCTCTGGCCAGAACCTGATCTTTTGCTTTCTGAGTGTTTGCCTCCTACCGAGATTTCTTTTCAACGACAGTCAACGGACAACAGGACGGCCCTTTGCGATGCATTCCAGTATAGCGAGAGTGGCCTTGGCTGGCCTGAGCGTGTTTGCGAGCATTGCATCTGCTGCACCTCTGGAGCAACGACAAGCGAATCTTAGACCGGTCATATCAACAGACGTGTGTTGCGTTGTACCTTGCTGGAAGTGCACATGTAGCTGACCAATGTACCAGTTCCCCGATCCATCGATAATAAAAGATGGCGACACATGGTATGCTTTCGCATCCCAATCTCTATACGACTTCCGAGACATCAAGATCCAAGTCGCAACCTCAAAAGACTTTGCCACATGGACACTCATGGAAGGCTACGATGCCCTCGGCACAATGGCTCCCTGGTCCCGATCCGACGTCTGGGCACCTTCCGTCCACCGACGAGACGACGGCAAATACCTCATGTACTACTCCGGCGTAACCACAACCGGCGGTGACGGACGCTTCCACTGCGTAGGCACAGCAGTTTCCGACACCATCCTCGGACCCTACCAGTCCAACACCGATGAACCCTTCGCCTGCCCCATCGACCAAGGCGGCGCTTTGGATGCATCTTACTTCAAAGACGGAGACCGACACTACGCTCTCTACAAAATCGACGCCAATGCCCTCGGAAATGGCGGTTCGTGCGGAAATACCGTCGAACCTATCCTCACCACCCCGATCGTCATTCAAGAAGTCCAAGCAGATGGTACAACCAAAATCGGAGAACCTACTACCATCCTCACGAACTCCGTCTACGATGGTCCACTCGTCGAAGCACCCTACATGATCCGCAACGCAGATGGCGTTTACGTCTTATTCTTTTCATCGTGGTGCTACACCACCGACAAGTACAGCGTCTCCACTGCCTACTCGAATAGTCCTACAGGACCATTTGAGAAGGCTAAACTTCCGTTGTTTGTTACGGGGACGCAGGGGTTGATTGGGCCGGGTGGAGGCAGTATTGCGGATGATGGGACGAGTTGGGCGATGCATGGTTATGAGTCGAGGGACAGAGTTGGTGGGAGGAGGAGTATGTATGTTACGCAGTTGAGGTTGGAGGGACGGGAGACGATTTCGACTTGAGGAGGATATGCCTAGAGAGGACTTGAGAGGAAGGATTTTCGTTGTGTGTAGACCTTGTAAGGAGATGAGAATGATACCCCATACCTTGTTTTGTGAGTCTGTTCTCATGAGATACGATGAAGAAGAACAATGTGACGAGCACGATCGGATTGTGTATTGGTGGAGGAGATAGCTGGAGAGGCTCGATTTGAGAAGAGAGTGGTTTAGGCATCTATTTTCGATTTGATGGAATCCGTGGCAAATGGCTCCGTTCAACATATTTGGGTCGGATGAATCCTTCAGCAAGACGACAACAAATGCTGCAACCGAAACAAATTCGAAGGACATGGTTACGAACTTCACGATCGACATTTCGCGTACCATTAAGAGCTGAAACTGGCCTGCAAGATGGAAGGTTCAGCTACGTTGGGCGGCATGTTTTTGCACACACAAGGCAGCAGCTCTGCAATAGTTCTGGTATAAGCAGCTATCCCGAATGTCCTAGGATGAAGACATCGAATGAGTTCGAAGCCGATTCAATAAGTCTTCGTGAGAGTAAGCATTGAGATAGAGGAGTCTATGCGCAGAGATGAATTCGTTAGTGCCCCGGCTAGTGGAAGTACTTGTCCCAGAGAATAGATCACTTTATTTGGTGATCAGTTTGGGGTTCAAGAGATGGGTTGAGGATTGCTCCGGGGCGATGAGGCTGGTTGACAAGTACTTCTCAGGAGGAGACCGAGGCAAACGGATTGTCATTGAGAGACACTTTTCAGAGATGCGCCGGAAGGACATGCTCTCTCTTCCAGACGATGTGCAAAAATGCATACACTTCACCCTCAACACTACCTCCTTCTCAGATCCGACGCTTGCGCGTTCGCTTCCTTCCAGTCACCTGAAGGCGGCTTCCATTCTCATTTCGCGATGAGCCTGACCTACCTGCCTAACACGCGTCGGAATCAGCAGTGGAAGCTGCCCTTACACAGCGGGCAGTCACACCCCAAGGGGACGGCACGTTCGAAGCGGCTGAGAGGGAAGTAGCCTCAACAGGCACTCATTGCCCTCTAAGCAGGAGACCATAAGCACTGATTGAGGATTGTCCTAACACCTCAGTCACCGCAGACAAGCACATCAGCAAGCAGGATGCATACTCAGAATAATAAACAACCATGGCGTCTCTCTCCCGATCCAGATGTATCACCAAGAAAACAGGACCCAGTGCTAACGAAGCCTCACACGAACACTCAAATCACCATGCCCTCCACAATCTCACACATCATCGACGACCCCACAGCAACCTACCACGTCATCCACTTCCAAGTCCTCAATGACCCCTCCCAACCCGACTTCAGAATCGCTTTTTATCATCTCATCGGCAACCACATGCAAAATTTCTACCACATCTCCGAAAAAGACCCTTTCAAAGCCGCCGCCGACGGCCTCACAATCTCCCGGGACTGGATCTGGGACGACCTCATGCAATACCTCACAGATAACCCCGCCAAAGTCGCAGTCAAACGTGTTCGCCTGTATCTGGTCAAATTGAGTATTCCGGAAACGAATGAAGCTCACAGGATTTTTTGGATTGCTGGAAGGCCCGGTGTGACGGAAGGGGATGATAAGTTTCAGGAGTGTGGGTTTGCGATTGATCCGGATTATGTCGGGAGGGGGACGTTGCAGAGTCATCCGTTGGCGGCTTGGGATTGGGATTTTTTGTTTCAGAGTTATGAGGGGGTTAAGCCGTGGGTTCAGAGGTGGGAGAGGGATAAGACTTGTCCGAGGGAGGTGGATCCTTGGGTTTGGGATGGGTAGAATGGGGGAGAGAGGAGTGGTGGAGGGGAATTGGAGAGTTGCTGGACATGAACTGGATTGAAGCATGAGTTCGCATCGATGGAGAGGCTCGCATGTTAGCACAAAGGTGCCATTTTCGGCTTTCGAAAGATTGTGTCTGGAAGATCTTGGTTCATCTTGTGGAAGTAGAATTCTCTACTGCAAGCTTTTGAATGAGCTCCGGATTCAACTGAGACTGGTGCTTCCTGCTGCCCAATTCATTTTTCATCACCATTCGCGCATCGCTCGGCTTCGGTCAAAGACTGTTGACGACAATTTAATTCATCAAGAGTAAACATTGCACTCAGCAATCGGCACGTTCCACAGCGACATTCCAGCCTGTGTTATGGAATACGCGGCCTCCAATATCCGTGTCAGTAGGAGATCTCAATTTGCAATTGTTTACAAGGAACTGGGCGCCGTCGGCGATAGAGCCGAATGAGAACAAGGTCTTGGGCTCTGGGTTCTAGAAAGAGTCAGTGGGAAGGCTTCCATTGTCACTGTGCCACTCACATCGTTGCACCAGACGATAGCTCCATTGTAGCTGCAACTGACTCTTGCACAACTGGCTGAAGAATTGTTAGAGAATCATCTCGACTACGGACAGGCTTCAGGAGCTTACCTGGACCCGGTCCGGCGTTAGGAACGCCACCTACTTTTCGAAGATAGGTTATACCATCCTCAACTATGTCCCTGTAGCCAGAATTCCAGGGTTGATGACAGTGGTAAATAGCACCAGTGAAGTCAAGCCTTTTCTGTAGAGTGTCGTGGCCAGACTCAGACGACTCGTCAAAGTGAGGGTTCAACTCGCGAAGTTGTGCAATGACCTCCTGCACCGTGCCATTCATCTTCACAAGGGGACCTCCAGGAGATGCTGGAACCTTCCATTGCAAGGGCTCGAAACTGTATGCCTTGAATTCTTCGATGCCGTCAGCACCAGCAGGCAAAGCTACCTGCATACGTGTCAGTGGCGAGCCTATCGAAAGAGACCGGACAACCTACTGTCAAAGGAAGTATTGCCAGCAAAGCATGAGTGAGCTGAATTGGAAGCATGATTGCGGGAGCCTGTTTGTATGTGTGGTACTGAGCTGGAGGTGCTGAATTCGAAGTGCCGATAACGAGATGATGAGCGACTGGCACATCAATGCCGACCGACATTGGCACCCCTTCTTATACATATGCTCGGCGTCGTGGGCAGGACTGGTTCGAAGCTGCGCGTGAGCGAAATCGAGGTCATGAGGTTCTCCATCTTCGTTGGTGCAACCATGGCTTCTGCTGAGTAACCTGGCGTACGGAGAGTATGCAGCTCCAGACAGGAAAAACTGCCGAAGTGCTGCAAAAACTCTGATTCGATGCTCTTACCCGTGGTGCACAGCGGAATCTTCGAGACGTGTGGCAAAAGTGGCTCTAATGGGGAGATTGCTTTCGTCAAGGGTCAGGCCTTTCGCTCAACGAATGCAAAAGGAATAGTCCGTCGAGATCGTTATTAAGGCTTGATCACAAACGGACCGCAAGGCAACCACGGAGCACAAGAGGATTGCTTCTTCGACCAATATGACCACTTCATACCTTCCAGCTTCCGTTGTGATCGGACTTTCCCTTTCCTGGGGTATTCGTAGAGTTCGTTTTGGCAAGCCAGGCAGGATTGTTCTTCAAGTCTTGCTGGGTCGCTCTCTCAAGTGATAGTCGTCGATGAACAAGCGGCGGCAGCTCCGATAGATTCGACACCCTGGTCGTAGTCATTGTTCAGAGCAACCTGATCAGAACGAGCCTGGGGTGAATTAAAACGTCTTGATCGAACCCAGCCTGAATCGAGCCCAGCAGCCCATATAGCTTTGAACTCGACGACCGCTTGCACCTCAAAGTCCAAATCGTCAAAAGCGAAAAGAGGCACAGCCCACAAGCGAGATATAAAGGTGAAGTTGACTCCACCCAATGTCTCGCCAAGGGCGTCAAGTGGCTTGGCGTCCATATCATCTATTCTTGAACAATGCTGTGCCGCAGACCTGCTTTCCAAGCGCTTTGCTGAAACACCAGTCTAGATGATCGTCAGCTCAGTAAATAGTTATACAAACATGACCGCCAAGTCTATCAACCACCTCCCTTTCACACAATCCAAAGCCAATCACAATGATGAAACAACAATCCACAACATCCAAAGCCCTCTTCGGCCTCTCAATCCTAATCTTCGTTTTCGGAATAATACAACTATCGCTCTCCCTCTCAGTAGCACACAAGATTCCAGCCGAGAAAGCGAAAGCTCAAATTGAAGTGACTTATCCTTGGCCATACGATGGAAGCAATTCGACGAGCCCGTACAATCCCAGGAATTACTATCCATATAGTTTCCTCACCAGTGTATCCGACGCCATCACGGCTATAGCAGCATTAGCTCTCGCGAGTGGAGCGCTGGGGCTATTATTCACGTTCAAGCCAGAGTTTGGTTGGGTATGTGGCACGAGAATGCCAGAGCGAGAACGAGAAGAAGCTGATAGATATCGACACAGCTCCCGCTTGGTTTCTGGCCGTTCTTGCATACAGCTCTTCAATCTGTTGCAGCGCTGACAGTCTTCGTGCTGCTCATCGCGTCATGGGAGAAGCATTATTCGAGTTCGTGATTGGTGTTAGATGAACGTGGTCACCTTGATGGCGATTACAGCTATGAGTCTTATACGTGCCAGATGCGTCGTGGGTTTGATGGAATAGGATCGCGTGACTGGATGGGAAAGTATTGCGGGATGGCGGTAAGTCGATTCAAGCTTTGCAATCTTCATTTGTCGAATGCTTGCTGATCCTAAGACTCCATAGGTGGCAGCTAGGGCGTTCACAGTGCCAGTGTGCTTGCTACTCATGGCTATAGCGGCAATGAGTGGGATCCAGATGAAGAAGGCCAATGCTTCGGCGAAAGCCATCGAGATGGGAGACTTGCGGGCCACGGAGAAGCAAGCCAACCTCGAGCGACGAAGTTTACAAGGCGATTTGTAGCGTACGAGCTGTAGTCTCGTAGTGCTGCATCCTGTGGTCTGAAACATCATGTACTCCCCTGCTTCACATGTAATTCGCGGGATTGAGCCCTTCGACCTTTGCACTCTTGGCTTTGCCGTCGAAGACGAACTCACTCATCAATTTTCCGGTGCCTGGACCATTCTGGATTCCCCAACACGTATGGCCTGCTGCTATCCACAAGCCCTTCGCGCCTGGAACGGCGCCAAGCAAGGGAGCCGAACTGCCGTTGACCTGAGGCAAGTAGCAAGCTTGTCTCGCAGTGACCTCTCCATCTCGCAGCTCATCAGAGATGGAAGAGACAAAGTCAACAATATCCTGACACCGCGACTGGTCGACCTCGACGTCATCTGAAGTGGGAGGGAGAGGAACCTCATGATCGCCTTCGCCGCAAGCGTAGACTTCGTTGTTGGGGCGAGCGTATATTTCGGGACTGACAATTTGACCGCTGTGAGGGCCTTTAGATGCTGAGTTGGGAAACTTGGAGGGAAGCTTGATTTGTGTGAAGAGAGCGTAGGGTGAGACGTTAGCCTGAATAGTAACGGAGTGGGCGCGAAGGGCACCGATGGGAGCGGAAGGATACACGCTCTTGGTCCACGGTCCAGCGGCTATGATGATATCCGTTGCGGGTATCGTGTGGTCCTTTCCGGAGGTCTTGTCCGTGTATGTCACGCTCTCCACCTGAGACGTGTTGGCGTAGTTAATACTCTTGACAGGCGACTGAGTCTTGACTTCGACGCCTTTCTCCTTTGCCAACTCAATCATGCTCTCCGTGAACTGTCTTGGATGCACCTGCGCTGTTGTGCTGGGATCACCCATCTCGTCGTATGCTCTCAGCGCGTCTTGCGCCACCCAGTCCATGTCCTCAGGTATACCCATCGCGCCTCTCTTCGCACTGCTCTTCTTTGGCGGATTCTTCTCCAGACTCACATCGTCAGCCTTTGCGCCAGCTCCCATCTTTCCGTTCGCATTTGTGCCGTTTGCAGAACTCTCGTCCTTGCTCTTCTTCTCGGGCAGCACTCGCCCTACGCAGTCCACCTGTCCACAGTGCACCGCTCGATAGCCCCATCTCTGCGCTCCGCCATGCTCTTCCGCAAGCTCTTTGTGTAGCCCGTAGCTCAGAGGCACGATGCTCTTAGGATATGCCCATAAAGCCAACAATCCGCCTGCCTTGCCCGATGCGCCGCCTGCGATCTTGCTCGCTTCCAGAAGTGTAATCTTGTGCTTGCTTGGGTCGTACGAAGGATGCCTCGTCAGGTAGTACGCGCTCGTGGAGCCAATAATTCCGCCGCCCACGATCACGATGTTCTGCTCAGTCGAGGCAGCCATGGTGGCGAAGGTGCGGCAACGCTCTGCTGTCAAAAGGTGCAAGTCCGTCCGAATGGCCCTGTGTATCAGCGATTTTGAAGCCACAGTGAAAGAAAGGAGAGTGCGAAAATAGTCGTTCGAGAAGAATGAGTGGTGGTCAGAAAAGGCAGCAGCTACCATATTCTATGAACCAGATTTACGTCACCGTGTTCGCAATGCAGATCGAGGCGCACCCCACAATGCCTACCTGTGCATCTGAAGCAAGCATTGGGTGCACAGCAGCATGTCGATAGAGCACGTTGTCGCGCATGTTGTTGGGGATGAAGCAGTGAGAGTTTGAAGACTAGAGACCCCAAGTTGGTGCGCGGAAGCACAGACATTTTTGGGAGCGATAACGAATGTTGAAGCTTCGTGCAATACACATACAAAAGGAAAGGAGTACATTTCTTTTGTCATCTCGCCATCATAGGCCGTACATCAGGCATAACAAAGCAGTAGTCTAGTAGCAAATGCTCAATCCAGGCGAGCAACAAGACGACGCCCTGCGCGGGCGAGTAGCTTCACTATCGTCCTGCCACATTCGCTGCGCAAACACTCCACTTTGCCATGCTTTTTCGTAGCATCTGACATGCTACAAAGTGAGGCCAGATGCCTGCTGCCATGTCTTGCCCTCGCTCATAACACTGCCAGTACCATGCGCACAATGATCTCCAATATCCCATGCAAGACGCGCTTAGAAGCACTTGCGGTGGACAATGGAAGGTCCAGACTCGTCGTACTCTTGCTTTGAGATCCACATCTGCTGGAAGGTCGAGAGCGAGGCGAGAATGGAACCACCGATCCACACGGAGTACTTGCGCTCCGGTGGTGCGATGATCTTGACCTTCATGCTGGATGGGGCCAAGGCGGTGATTTCCTTTTGCATACGGTCGGAGATACCTGGGTACATGGTGGTGCCACCAGACTAAAAATTGTCAGCTCAATCTCTTCCAGATCATAAATGATGGGGCCAGCTTACCATGACGATGTTTCCGTAGAGATCCTTGCGGACATCGACATCACACTTCATGATGGAGTTGAAGGTGGTGACGTGGATACCGCCAGATTCGAGACCGAGGACGGATGGCTGGAAGAGGGCCTCTGGTGCACGGAAACGCTCGTTGCCGATGGTGATGACCTGTCCGTCAGGAAGCTCGTAGGACTTCTCGAGCGAAGAGCTCTGGCTGGCGGTTTGAATTTCCTGCTCGAAGTCGAGGGCGACGTAGCAGAGCTTCTCCTTGATGTCACGAACGATTTCACGCTCGGCGGTGGTGGAGAAAACGTATCCGCGCTCAGCCAAGATCTTCATGAGGTAGTCGGTCAAATCACGACCAGCCATGTCGACACGGGAGATGGCGTGTGGGAGAGCGAAACCCTCGTAGATTGGGACAACGTGGGTAACTCCGTCACCGGAGTCGAGCACGATACCGGTGGTACGACCGGAAGCGTACAGGGAAAGGACGGCCTGGATGGAGACGTAGAAGGCTGGTGCGTTGAACGTCTCGAAGACAATCTGTGTCATCTTCTCACGGTTGGACTTTGGGTTGATTGGAGCCTCGGTGAGCAGGACAGGGTGCTCCTCTGGTGCGACACGGAGCTCGTTGTAGAAGGTGTGGTGCCAGATCTTCTCCATGTCGTCCCAGTTGGTGACAACACCGTGCTCGATGGGGTATCTCAGCGTCAGGATACCACGCTTGCTCTGTGCCTCATCACCGACATATGAGTCCTTCTGACCCATACCAATCATGATACTGTGCTCTTGTTAGGAGGAATTTGCAGCGGCGGAGATGGCGGATCGCATACCCATGGTGGCGCGGTCGTCCGACGATGGATGCTGTCCCAATGTCAGCTCCTCCTTCCTGCCAGCTTTTGCGTCTGATTGTGGCAGCACTTACGGAAGACAGCTCGTGGCGCATCGTCACCGGCGAAACCGGCCTTGCACATACCAGAGCTGCATCTCTGTCAGTCGCGTGTCCTGCTCGATAGCCATTGCGTGCCTGCGCTCCGTTTCGTTCGCTGCTCGAAAGTGCGTTGATGACGTCGGAAGCGAAGCTGAAACGTGGTCGGGAGCGGCGGGCAGGCAGTGGGCGGGCGCATCCTTACCCATTGTCAATGACGAGGGCAGCGACCTCCTCTGTAGGTGGCAATTGAAGTCAGCGCAGTGTCCTCGGAGGCTCGACGACCGATGTAGGGGCGGAATGGGGGCGGGCACGGCGAGGGTGGAAATTCGTCCAGCTTACCCTCCATGGCGGCGGTGTTTGTGGTGTGGTGACGTCGAAAATGGGTGCGGGCGTGCTCTGATGGACCTCACAGCGGTAATGCGTGAGGAAGCAGGCAGTGGCAAGGGTGGACAGTGTTTGTGGTATGTGGAGTTGAGTACAAGCTGAAGCGCCTCTGGGTGCGGTGAAGAAGTCTTGGGAGAGAGGTGTTGACCGACAGCCTCCAGTTAGCGGCAGGCACGGGCCAGGACAGTCGATTTTCGGAGAGAGCAGCGCGAATCGCCGGCGAGATCGAAAACACTTCCAACTTGCTGCAACTTGGCCTTGCGGGCGCAGCGCGGGCTATCTACGTTCGCCGCGCGGTGCTTTATTTCGCTGCCTGATGCCATTTCATCTCCATTGCCGCTGCTGCGAGCACCTGTTGCCTCCGTACGCGTGTCCTGGCTGATATGCCAAGCCCGATTCTCCCAACATTACACGTAGCCGTCATCAGGCAGACCTTTAAGGATCGCCGCCGCCTGGCCGATTTGCATTGCATTCATTCCACACGGTGCGCGCTCATGTCAGCAGCGCACGCAGAATTTTGCACGAGCTGCGAGCTGTGTCCCGCCACCTGCTGCTCCTCCCACGCGCTCCAGAAGCACAACCACCACTACTGCCCTGCCGCCGCATGTTTTAGCGAGCTCGAGCCGCATTAGCGGGGTCGCTTTGGTGGGGCGCAGGCCAAACACCACAGCACAGCCTCCGAAACGCTCTCACGACTCGGACGTTGCCAATACCATCAAATGCAACGCTCGTAACCGGCGGAGTACGTTCCTCGTGCTGTACAGAATAAGACACCACGTCCAAAACGGCCCTCCAGCGTTGCGCTGGCCGCAAAAGGCAAGAAGAAGGTGAGCGAAGCCGCTCGAAGTGGCTAGTGCTGTTCAGAATTTCTGTCATCACAGCCAAAACCATCCTTGACTAAGTGCAGTTGCGACAACACATTTCATTCTCGCACTCCCTGCCCACAACTCACACGTCAAACAGGCTGCGTAATTCCGAGCTATACATACACGTTACACTCGCAACAGCCGAATACGCTCAACGAATCTCGCAAACATGACAGACCAAGCAGCGCTCAATTCACTACTACAATGGGGCATCGAGAATAGTGCCGCAGCGAATGGCGACGCACCAGAAGGGCAGCGACGTGATCCAAGCAGGGGACTGAACCCGGAAATGCTTGCGCAATTACTCGGCGGGCCATCAGACGCGGATCGCATGAAAGACGCAATGCACGCCATTGTTGCGCCCATGGATAAAGTCGACCTGGAAAACAAATTGATCGCGTGGGACAACTTCGAGCAGCTGATTGAGCAAATCGATAACGCGAACAACATGGACCCGCTGAAGTTATGGGAGCCACTCATACGGCAATTGGATCATGAAGAGCCGGAGATGAGGAAGAACGCAGCTCTGTGCATCAGCACTGCAGTACAGAACAATGTGAAATCGCAAGAGCATGCGAATAGCTTGGGAGTTGTGCCGAAACTGGCAAAGTTGGCAACAGACGACACAAATCAAGCTGTGCGGAAGAAAGCAATTGGAGCATTGAGCAGCCAGGTCAGAAATTTCCAGCCCGGCATGGACGAGCTGGAGAAGGCGTTGCCTGATAGCGTCTGGAAGAGCTCGAAAGGAGGGCAAGACGCAGCCGATATGGATTCATGCGATGCCATCATCCAGAAGTTGAGGGATCTTTCTGCTACAAAGGCGTAGGCTCACGGCACTACATGTACGATAGGGATGATCAGCAGATGTCACGCAGGTGAAGATGAAATCACCTGATTCGATACCATAGAACGCACGAGGTGCGAATGAGACACGACTCAAAATATCACAAACACTGCGTTTGTCACATCTTCATTCCATTCTGTACAAAAGTCATTGTCATGATCGCCATCGCTGGCTCAGCTATTTGTCAAACGCCCGATTCCTGGATATCGTTCCTGCAAGCTACACAACCGGTTTCCTCCCGTATACAAAATGAAATATCGTCAATAAATGCAACTTGGGATCTTTGAACTCATTCCTGACTCCCGCCATCAAAACCTGCGCCTCTTCCATTCTCCAACCCAATATCCGCGTCAAAGGCGCCAACGTGAAAGCTTCGACACAAGCAATCATGTGTTCTCGTTGGTATCGTCCGACTTCCTTGAGTTTTGGATTCTTCGCCCAATGGCCAATAGGAATCTGTGCAACAAATCATACGTCAGCGAAACTTTCAAACGACCTCACGCAGCCATGGAAACAAAAGAAAAGAAGAAAGACTGTGAACCCACCTTAACAACATCCTCCCTCACATCCACAAACCCCGCCTCCTCAATCCACCTCTTCTGCTCCCTCGCAACATTCATCCTCTTCCCAAACTTCGTACTCGCCTCATCGACCAGTTCCTGCCAAAGTTTCGTATTCGGCGCTTTCGTCAGTTCCGGATCATCGTCTGAAGAAATCCAAGCTTCGTATTCTTGCATTTCGACCCAGCCGCCGGGTTTCAAATTTTCGTAAATGGAAGTGTAGAGTTGGGGCCAGTCGGCGACGGAACCGCCCATGCCGCGGCCGTGAATGTAGTCGAAGGCTTCGTGGGGGGACCAGGTCCAGGGGGATTCGATGTCGTCGACGTAGAATTTGCAGTTGGCGGGGAGCCAGTCTGTGGGAGGTGTTAGTTTTCAACAAGGATGAAAAATGGTACTGTGATGAGAGAACGCTAGTAGAACTGATCTCATGGTCGTCCAATCGCTTCCAGTCAGTTTTCACGGGGGAAGAGGATATGATTCTGCTCGGAATAGAACCAAAAACAACACCACAGCACAGAAAAATCACAGGGAAGCAGAACTCAACTCACCAGGCTGAATCGGACTCAAATCCACCCCCACAACCTCCGCCTCGGGATACTCATCCGCCATATCAATTGCCCAAATTCCCGTCCCGGTTCCAAAATCCAATACGCGTCGAAAATTCGGTCCCAGCGGTGCACGATGTAAAGCTCCATTTAACGCTAACCGGTAAATATGGTGATGTAAATCTAGTCGATCTTGTTCTTCGGCGTCGTTGGGCATGAGGTAGGCGCCATCGCGATAGGCGTGGTAGCGGCGGCCATTTTCGTACTTGTAGCCGTAGATGGAGGAGGCGAGAGAGGTGCTTTCTATGGAGGCTATGTCGGAGCCGATGCCGGAGTCGGCGGACTGTTTTGTGATTAGTATGTGAGTTTTGTTGGGTGTGGAATGATGTACATCTGTATCGACTTCGACATCGTGAGCGAAGTTCTGGTTGGCGATTACGGGCTGCTGTGGTTGTGGTGGTGGTGCAGGCGGTGTAGCGTCCGCCATGGCAGTAGCGATGTGGACACACGCAATATAGTATCCCGTGTCGTACAAGGCCTTCTGTGGGACCCACGAGTGAAGCGGGTGATAGTCAAGAGCCGAGAGTTACAGGATGGTTACGGTCCTACTACATATCTTCTTGCTTCGCAAAACTTCGTTTGGCGGGCGCGGTGTGCTCACATATTCGGTTTAGTCACTCGCGGGCAGTTGCGGCCGTTCCGTTTGGGTGTCGTGGGTGCACGACTACCGACAGAATGGTTCTGGAGGGATGAATTCGCAGGAGCAAAGCAGGATGATCGCGGTGTGTACAATTGGTTGACGTCTTTGAGACCAAGCTTCGCCGGCGGGCGTGCGTTCGGCTGAACACTCCCAATTCGACCCTTTGCCGTGTGGTGTGCTTCCTTCCTGGCGCATGTCCGCCCGATAACATGACCTCGCTTTCCTTCACGAGCCTGCACTCCTGCGGCGTGGACTGGAGACGGCGCACATGTCGAATCAAACAGACTTCCACGGCACAGTAGTGTGGTGGTGACAGCTCACGACCGGGCACATTTCTCATGCAGGCCAGCTCCAAGAACTAGTTACCGAAGATACTGCAGGCATCGGCACCGCGGACCGTGAGCTTAGGCGTTCGCCCGAGCACTTCGCATTCGTTCGAGCATCCATGCGCAGCGGCATGTGCATGGATGGCGCGAGAGTCCAACTGCAAGCGATGAGCTGGCGGAGCAGCCCGTCGCCATGCCCTTCAGAAGCGCTGGCAAATGTCTCTGCTACTGTAGCATTGCTTCCTGGTCCGCAGCAGCAGAAGCAGCAGCAGCAGCAGCAGGATCTGCTCGCACAACATGGCCCTCTCTTCGTTGCCTTCGACGCCGGTGCTGGCATTGCTCGTGTTCGTTGGCTACCTTGCCTCACTCGCCATCTATCGTCTCTACCTGAGTCCACTTGCGAAATTCCCTGGTCCCAAGCTCGCCGCTCTGACCAAGTGGTATGAAGCTTACTATGAGATTGTCCTGAATGGCCAGTTCTCCTTCCACATTGAAGACTTGCATAGGCAATATGGTAGGGCAGGACTGAATCCTACTTACCTGAAAGACGCTGATCAGCCCATCAATAATGCAGGCCCGATTGTGCGAATCACACCCGAAGAGGTGCATATTCAAGATCCGCCATTCTGGGAAACACTCTATGTTAAGCACAACAGGACGGCGAAGTACGAATGGACTTCTGGCCGCTTCGGCAACAGCAGCTCTGTCTTCACGACATCTGACCCTACCTTGCACAAGGTCCGAAGAGCTCCGCTAAACTACATGTTCTCGCGCAAAGCCATCATCAATTTCGAGCCAGTCGTGCGAAAGAAGCTAGACATTTTCTGTCGAGGATTGGAAAAGTTCCGCGAGACTGGCAGTGTCTGTAATATGACAGAAGCCTTCTCTGCTTATGCTGGTGATGTCGTGACGAATTACTGCTTTGGCTACGATTATGATCACTTGTCCCTGGATGGATTTACTGATTCTTTCCACGATGCCTTCATGGCTGTTTCCGCTTTTGGCCATGTGGCACTTCAGTTTCCGTGGATGCATTCTGTAAGTAGTTTTGCAAGACAGGCTCACCCATGCCCAATACTGATGGAAATGGAACAGCTTCTCAATAGATTACCAGACAGCTGGAACGCTGCTATGAACCCGCCATTGGCGAAGCTACTCGTCCTTCAAAAGGTAACCGCGTTGGAGTCGTCGCTCTCCGACCACGATTGACCCATATCGCAGGACCTCCAAGCCAAAATCGCCTCCGAGCGAACCAAAGTAGAAAAAGGCGAAAAAGAGCAAGAATACCCAACAATCTTCCACACACTCTTCGTCGACAAAAACCTCCCCGAATCCGAGAAAACCAACCTCCGCTTCGCCGAAGAAGCACAGCTCTTCCTCGGAGCAGGCATTGAAACCACCTCCTGGTCCCTCTCCCAAACCTTCTACTACGTCCTTTCCAACCCCGAAATCTACGCGAAACTGAAAGCTGAACTCCGCGAAGCCATTCCAGATGTCACAGCTCCAGACGCGTTCAGCTATGCTCGACTTGAGACTCTGCCTTACCTTCGTGGATGTCTGAAAGAGGGTGTTCGCCTTTCATTGTCGGTTTCTGCTCGCAATCCTCGGGTTTTGTCGCAGCCTTTGCCATGGAAGGATTGGGTGATACCAGCTGGGACGCCCATTTCGATGACGATTGCGGATGTTCAGTTGAATGATGACTACTTTGTCGAAGCTGCGGAATTCAAGCCAGAGCGCTGGCTTGGCGAGTCTCCGAAAGCGCCAGATGGAAGTCCGTTGGAGAGGTATTTTGTTGCTTTTGGAAAGGGTCCAAGGAGTTGTTTGGGGATTAAGTAAGTTTGCCTCCAAGTCACCAGCTTTGTCCTTGACTGCGCGGAGTACTGACACATTCGCCATCACAGTCTCGCATGGATGGAACTCTTCCTCGCCGCTGGCACGATTCTTCGAAAGTTCGATTTGGAGCTTTATGAGACGAATATCTCGGACGTTCTTCTTGCTCATGACTTTTTCTTGCCGAGTCCGAAGTTGGATTCGAAGGGTATCAGGATTAAGGTTGTGGGATTGGATTCTTGATGACTGCGAGAAGAGTGAAGAGGTGGAGTAGATATTTGATTCGAAGAAAAGCATGTAGATACGAGATGAATGACGGCCATGACTTCAACAACCCCAGGTTTTTCCTTTTGTTGTTTCCATCGACCGTCCCATTTGACAAATCCGATGAATTCCTTCGAAAAGCTACCTCGTCGAATTTGGTGATTATTCAGTCATCCGCGTTGAGTTGCTGCAATTTGGGTGATTATCTTCAAGCCGCCGCGTTGGCAAGAAGAGCCCACTCAAGTTTATGGCCTGCTTTCCCTATGCCGACTGTCATTTGCCGTTTCAAGAAAGCCCACGTTACAGAGACCGAGAAAGCGCATCCTCCCACTTGTTCTTCATCTCGAATATTGTCCTTCCACTCCTGTGTCATGTGAGTGCTGAGAGGATCCCAGATACTGGCAGTGTCTATTCTTATCCGCCTAAGGCGTGCTGGAGATGATCAGTCCATTCTGGCATGCATTCTAACTTAGCGGCGTTCAGCCATAATAGCAAATGCTTCCCACGACGGCGTTGTTGCCGTCCGTGCCAGACGTCCCGGATATCGTAGTCAGAAAGGGTGCCCCGGTTGAGGACTCTCAGTTCCGTTTCGAGGCCCAGAAATGTAGCTGCCGCAACAGAGTCTCTCAAGGGGTTTGGGGTTCTGAAGAAGCAGCTTTTGTAGTCTGAGAGGGTGCACTCTGTGCTCGTCATCCTCTCAAGACCCTGTAACCCATATCACTTTCTATCCCCAGCTCGACAGAGTTTAACAAGATTACCCAGACCTTCCGGACAAGATTACGCTTTGCCATAGCGGAATTGCACTGCTCTTTGATCGTGAGTAGAAGCGGATGGGCTAGGACTTGTTATGGTTTGAGTATGCCCCAAGTCCTTACTACCGATTGAATGGCTCAGTGAGATCGGCGGCGGTGATCGGAATCGCAGCTCTCTGAGCTAGGTACCGTTTCCGCCAGGAGGCCCAGGTGACCAATCGTCTGCCGCCCCGGAGGCCTTAATGGTTCGGAAATCCAGAGCAGCAGAGGTTGTAGTCTGACAGTGTGCGCTCACCCTGTTGTAATCGGAAAGGGTGCGCGCTACACTGTCACACCAAAAAAGCGCAAAGCAAAACGAACAACACTGGGGATTCCCACGTGATCACTCATCAGAGGTAATCGTGGTCTGCAGGTCAAAGGGAAGTTCTTGTGTCGTGAAAATTGTTTCTTCGAAGGGGTTGGTAGTGTCAGTGACACTATTTCCTTCGTCAGCGAGGGCAGAGGATGGCTTCGCCATGTTTTGGTTGTTGGTGTTGAGTGAAGAGGAGAAGGAGAGAAGAGAGGAAGCGAGACCAAGATATGCTTGGAAAGTCGGGAAGTGGCCTCAATGGTGATCTATTTTGAGCTCACATTCGTCCTCAAAACTGAAAACCTAATCCTGATGGTTCAGTTGAGGCCTCGGAAAAATTGGAAGATGAGAGTGAGCCTACGCACTTGCAATTCTGATGATCATGTACCATCGTGGAGCCGTCTTGGAGTTTAAAGATGTTTTGGGTAGCATCGAATGGACTGCCAAAGCCGATACATTCCGTCCTCAAACTCTGTTGGAAGCGGCAGAATTCTTCATTGCATTTCAATTCGGATTGCTTGTCTGGTGGTATGATAGACGTGAAGCGAGCAAGTGGCTCAGTTGTCTGGTCTGAGCAGGGCGGACATACTGAGGTGATGGGAGGCCCACTTCTGAAATCTTCTCTACTTAAATGAGAGACGCGCAGGAATTAGTTCATGGTGCTTGATTTTCTGCGATCAACCCGAGATCTTGACAGTAGTAGACCAAGGGAGTAGCAGATAGAGAAGGTGCTTTCGCAAGAGCTGCGCATCTGGCATCAGTTCATCACATCGCAGGCGGGTAGAACCAGATCTCAAGACCCTTCCCACCTCCCAGAAAGTAAGCTGTTACTTCTCTGAACGCCCACGTCCTCCTAGACACGATGCCCCGGCTAGGATCCATTCGCTTGCCCGTCCGCTCCACTGCTACTCCCTTGGCTTTGAGGCTCTGGCGTCAGTTCTCGAATCATCTTCTTCAGCTCGTCAATCTCATCTCTGAGCTTCCTGACCTCCAACAATGTCCCGTCAACCACAACATCTGGCGACGTCTCCTCCACTCTCTTCGACCAGCCCGTTCCCTCAACATCCAGCTCAGGCTCCAGTTGCTCCCACTCCTCAATCGTGTCATCGTCGCTTTCATGCCTGCTGCGATTGAAGCGGACCAGACGCGCAGTTCGTGTCTCCAATAGAGCCGTGATGAGCAACAGAGGAGAATATATGACTCCCATGACCAGGTCATTGAGCTGCTCGTATCGCTTTCTCGACATCCACCATTCGAAGGGTAGGATCAGGAAAACAATTTCGATGAGATTAAAAGGTGCGATGAAGACATTCTCGTCAGGCGCGCGGACGAACTGCATAGTCTTCTGTGCAAAGAGAGCCAGGTATTCATCTGTCGCATTTCCGGTGATGTCTTCGTATGCGCTGTTATACAAAGCGATCAAGATGTTCAGCAAAATGACAATAATGACGAAGTTGTAGATGTAGTAAAGCGTGATGCCGAATGGAGGAGCGAAGTCTTCCCAGCCATCGAACTCTGGCGAGCCCATGATGGCGTTGAGCATCATCTTGACGATGAAGTTCGAAGCGCTAATCTCTCCGTCGGTTTGGTCCATTCCTATGAAGCCTTGGAAGAAGCCTGCCAGCACGGCAATGAGGAGAGCGAAGAAGATCAGAGATTCGCGCATCATGACCTTCAGCACGACAAGCATGGCGCCGAAGAAACGGAAACTGTCAAGATAGAGCATAAGCCGGGTCCAGAACATCGGAGAGCTGAACGCGAGGAAGTTGTAGGACAGAGTATTGAGGTGAACCCGGCGTGGAGAATGCCAATCGTAGCCGAGAGCTATCATGCGGAGCACGAAGGACACGGTCAGGAGGGAATACAAGGTTAGGTTGAAGACGTTCCAGAAGCCAAAATAGTATCTGCCAATTTTGAGAAATTTGGAGATCTCGTCGCAGAGGAAACCAGCTGTGAAGAGATAGAGTAAGCCTTCGACTATGTCGAGCTCACCACCTGCGTTAATGGTATTGATGGCGCCCGTGTAGAGGCCGAGGAAAGCAACCGTGATCCCGATCTGCAGGGCATTCTGGTATTGCGGTACACGCATACGGTCGGGATCGAAGTGGTCCCAGTAATTCGTGCTCGTCTTGAGCTTGTAATCGGTGAATCTGCTCGGGTCATCTTCGTCCTGCACCAGCCAGCCTCGCCACAAGTGAGATATGCACTTTTGATAGCCTGAGCTGCCTATTACGCGAACAGCATGCAAGTCGACGGCCTTTTCTATGGCATTCGCAGGGTGTGTATCCTCGCCATCGACAACAATGCTGTAGCGCTTCAGCAGCACTTCTTGCATGAGGTAGTTCATATCGTCCTCTTCCTCAATGATGTGCTTAGCGATCATCTCACAAGCTGTTGCGCGCAGCTCGTGTAGATCGGCATCCCATAGCTCGAGAATGGCCTGTCTCTTGAACCAGTGCTTGACGATCAGCAAGCAGTATACCACACATGAGCCATAGTCTTCGTCTGAGCCGGAAACTTTGCCGGCAGACTTGGCAGTCTTGATCACGGCGGGCGTGATGACATTGCTGTGAGGGGCGATGATGCGCTCTTCGGGGAGTTCACATGGAATCACTTGTTCGAGCTGGTACTTGAGGCGGAGCGCGACGAAGGTCACTGCCTTGGCGGGGAAGGCGGAGGGAATGTTGGTCTCGCGGTGAGTGGGGAGTAGGCGCGATAGCTCGTCGGTGAGGCCATGATGTCGGTCATGGTGTCGGTCCGAGTCGAAGATGCTGTTGGTTCAGTCCGTCAGCTCGGAAGCGAGGCTCTTCAGGCACGCTTTGTGCTACCTTGCGCATACCGGTCGAAGAAGCCCATCGCAGGGTGTCGCTGGCGATTTCTGGTTCCTATTGCAGAATGTCTAACGGTCCCACGCAGCTACAGGAGTGCGAATCGTAGGAATGGAGTCGTCTCAGGTGGTGCCACCCTCTTGCCAGCCTCTTTGTCTCGCGAACCAAGATGCGCGCGTTGGCGGCGGTGGAGCTTGGAAGCTCTCGCCAATGACGACGATCAACAGCAGGGATCCGTCGCGTGGCATCGCGTCCACCACACGTCCCAGCTGCATCAATTGTTCACTTCATCTCTTTCACATGCGCCAATCCCGCCATGCCTCCCAGGAAAAAGGCTCGCCATTCCCAGGCCACCTCTCCCTCGCCCTCCGCCTCCCGCCAAAAGACTCCCGAAACCGCACCCTCCCAACACTCGAATTCTTCCCCAAACAAGCCTCCCGAAGCAACCGCCTCAGATGACCCATGGAGCGACCACGAAGAGATCGGCCTATTCAAAGGCTTGATGATATGGAAGCCTACGGGTATCCACAAGCATTTTCGCTTACTCGCGCTCCACAATTGGCTGCTGGAGAACAACTACATCCACCCTCGCAATGAGCATACGAAGCCCAAAGGAATTCGCGCGAAGCTTGAGACATTGTACAATATGGACGCACTAGACGCCAGAGAAGATGCACGGCAACTGCCGGCTGTGGAGCTTCTCGACGCAGAGCAAACAGATGCCAAGGGAACAGTATTGGACGATGACATCTACAGCGAGGCCGATAATCGCATCGAGCAAGATGACTTTGCTTTGCCGCCCGAAGAAGGCTTCGAAAAAGACATGTGGGACCGCAGACTGCCAAACAAGAAGCAGAAGACGGAAGACGAAGACAGCGATCTTGAACTTCCCGACCTGAACCTCGCAGAAGAACCACCTGTGCGATTCGTCGCTACAGTCTCCATCGAGCCAAGTGACAATGCTACGCCAGGCTCGCGAAGAGGCAGAGGCGGTGGTGCTGGTTCGAGAAGAAAAAGTCTGCCAAAAGTCGCTGCTGCTGCTACGAGGAGGAGCGCGAGACAGGCGGAAAGCACGGCTGATGAGGAGGAAGGTACTGCCGAGGAAGAGAAGAATGAAGACGAGGATGAAGAGGAAGAGGAGATTGAGAACAGTGATAGCGAGGATCGGAGTGAAGCGAGTACACCGGCACCAAGGGCGACCAGAACGAAAGGCGCAAGAGGGAGGACAAGAGGCAGGGCTGGAGGACAAGCCGGTGCGAAGAGGAAGGCACGTTGAGGAGTAATCGATGAAAGAGACCTCGCGGTCGACGCGTCTCGCACTATCCAAGCACTTTTGCGCATCATGATACATGATTCGACCCGGCACAGCTGAAGCTCACGCTCTTCACGGCGACTAAGCCTCCGGATCCTTCTGTGCTCACATTCTTGTCGAAGACTTCGAGTAACCTCCGGCCTGGCCTCTATCTGGTTGAAGTCAGCACAGCATCCATCCCCTTTCGGAAAATATGACTTACCTGGCATCCATCTGGTGTCCCATGGCAGAGGTCCAGCCACCGGCTGTGGGAGCTGTTGCTTCCGCTGTGCATTCGAGGAAGTCTTGGTGTTCAGAATGGAGTCGACGTACTGGTTGAAGTCTTGAGAGTTGGCTCGTGCTGGATTCCCTTGGTACCAGCTGCCCATGTCCTTGAATTGGCTGTTCGCTGCTGGGTTCGCCGCGGACAGTGGTCTCGGAGGAGAGTTCGCATTCCAGTTCCCTTGGGTGCTGGGTCGGCCAGAGGCTGCATTGACGCTGGAGCCCCACGCACTTGCGTATTGAGTCGGAACTTGTGACCCTCGAGACTGGTATTGACTTGGTCCCGGCAGCGCATTGCCGCTGTTGTACTGAGAAATCTGTTGATCCGGCATGCTGAGAGTGGTTGGCTTTCGTCTTCTTTCCGGACCTTCTTGCGACGTGGTCTGGCTCAGATCACCGTCCTAGATTCTGGTCATCGGCAGAATGTCTCGCATCCAGAGATGGCTCGAGAGAACTGCTTTATGGGTCTCATACTGCTGCGCAACGAACGCTGCGCAGTTTGCGAGCCATCGAAAACTCGCTACCACGACTAATATACGACTTGCCATCTTCTCTTGAATTATGCAGAGCTCATGGGGCGTGTGCAAGTCGACAGGTCGACTTCTTGTAACGTCCGTGCTGTTGCTGCCTGACAAGTGCCTGGCGCGGTGGATTGCATATCAGGCATAGCAGGAGGCATCTCCCAACCTTCGCCTTTGAGCGTGATGGAAAGCAACATACATTCCTGGCTCGAGGTCACGGTTGCCAGAATCAGCGAAGTGCCAGAAGATTGCGAAATCACCTCATTTCATGGAGCCTCGCGAGTACCAACGTCGTTTTCTTTCTTGTCAAAATCTCGAGGGGCCATGCCTCAACGAAATCCAGCTGATTCATGTGTTGTCGTTTCGCAGACTAACAGCAAGTCTCTGCAGACAAACAATTTGGAGTTACCTACTTGTTCACACGACTCCGGGATGCCGGAACGTGCAAGAATCCAGAGTGCGACCAATCGCTTGCGAAAGAGGCCGCACCTTGAGCATGCTGTGACCCGACGTCGACTTGTTCGCTTGTAAGCTTGCAATCCTTCAACGCCTGCGGTTCGCATGCACGTGACGTCTGCCGCAGCACCTCAGCCTTGTCTCAACCTCGAACCGCCGACGGCGTCTCTGCAGTCCATTAACTTCAAGCTAAGCAAACGCTTTGGACCGGACGTATAGGAGCTACCCTTGGAGCCGTGACCGCTGTTCTCAACTCGTTGCATGATCCAAGCCAGATTGCCCAATAGACAGGGCTTGCAGATCAGTACGATATGGAGGCACAAATAGCTGACTTGCCAGCAGCGATCCGGCGAAACAGTCGCGATGAGAGCGGCTTGCACCGACAAACCTCTGATGTGGCCATGAACAATGTTGGAGAATCGACAACATCAGAGAGCCCTCCTCCAGCGTCAGGAGTAGCACCCGGTGCTACGCCTATTGAGTGGCGGTGCCCTTTTGGATTCCTGGGATGCGTTCACGTTGCAGACGGCCTTCCGCAATGGGATGAGCATTATCAATGGCACACCGTGGGTCAGCTGCCACGCTATCTCGAGTGTCCATTCATCGGCTGCAGCTGGTCTTGCAGAACTGATGCTATCGGACATGAGACATGGGAGAAACGGCTGTATCACATTATGGGTGCCCACAAGTCTGGCGGCATTGTTCGTACGCACCCTAGCAGAGGAATGGCCGAATATCTTTCAGGGGAAGGTATGCTCTCTGATGAGCAGGCACGGGATTTGAGGTAGAATCTTTTCCTTCAACGCCAGCGTTTTGAACTAACGGATGTAGGCAACAAGGCTATCTTGACCAGGACATGGCAGACCAAGCTCCTCAACATCAAATCAACCAGGCCCAAGACAGAGCCATACAAATCTCGATTCGTCCGCTTCCAGCAGCGCAGCCTGATGACAGTCATGACAAGTCCCAGCCTAGTCAGAACGACACAGAGCCCGTCGCCATCAGCACGTCCAATATGACCGTCACACCAACGACAAGCCTGGAAAAGCCAAGCTCTGAGCATGACAGTTCGGGCAGTAATGTCTTGTGCTGCTCTGCTGCTCAAGATGATTCAACTATGCCTGCCTGGAGTCCAACTGCATTTAGCGAGCAACACCACGCGGAAGTTGCCGACCTCTTTGCACTGCGTGCTGCAGTCTGGCATATGACGCGAAGAGCGACAGATCTGTCAAACGCGACCAATCTGCAGAGTATTGACATAGGCACACTAAGTCTGCCGCCATTGAGTCTGTCACCAAGCATTGCGAACAACGAAGTCGACCTGGATACTCTGATGAACGTACCACAGACCGCAACTCTGCAACGACGTAAGTCCTGGACAGGTCCGTCCGACAGAGACGAGCAGCCAGATGCTTTGATTAGGCCCAGCTCGGCGCCTCCCAATAGCTCTCATCAATGGCTGGAAGAGGGTGAGTATATTGCATATGCTCAAGGGTCCGGTTCAGGAGACGGCTCACGACGGACGACTGGTACACATCTTTGCTCGCTGTCAAGCAATGCTCGCACAATCGGCAATGCTCGTCGAAGGGCGGCCGATGATGAGGATGAAGGGAATGCAGACCGAGATCAAGACGGTCGGGGGAAACGGCGGCGGCTCGATGAGTCGGTTCACAAACCTTCAGCACGAATCCGATTACCTTGCATTTTCAACATGGGCGAGCCCGACGCTTTCCCCAAACACACTGCGACGTATGAACATATCTCAGAATTGCTGTAAGTCATTCCCCTCGCTACGAGTGCGCTGAACATGCCTAATGCCCGCTTTCAGGCGCCACCTCACAACGCACGACTTCTACGCCTGTCAGAAATGCTTTACAAGGTTCAACAACACTGCGGAAATTCTTGACCACATATGCAAGAAGACGTGCGAAAACACTGCCTGCAGAAGGACGGTATTACTCAACACTGCGCAGCCGTTTGACTGCGATTGTGTAACCACTGCTGTGGAGCAATGGGAACAGCTCTTCTCTTTGCAATATCCTGGACAGCATGTGCCAGCTTTGCGACCAAATACGTACGATGACCCGTCCATGACGCCCTCTCTGCAACCTCGTACACCATTCCTGTTGAGCGTCCCACAAAGCGCCGTTCCAGCATTCGACAACAACGTTTTGGACACGCCAAACACGAACTTATGGGCTCACGAAGCTTTCGACCTTAGCATGACGCAAGTGCACGCGCCACGAACTGTACTACCCGCCATGAGAACCAATCTGGGCCATGCCTTCCAGAAAGAATATCAACAGCTATCCGAGCGCCTCGCTCAGCTCGAACGCCGAAAAGATGATGCTAGCAGCAAGCGTGAGGAGGCTCGGGGAACGCTGCTCTTGTCCCTTTGGGAGGCGCTCTGCGAGACAGGCAGTCCCAAAGCACGAATCGATGGCCCTCTCTGGAGAATGATGCAACGCGATGCTCCAGAAGTCTTGAGGCAGAGCATGGTTGCTACAACTCTTACGAGTGGATCCTCCTCAGTGCTGCATAGTCAGTTGTTACAGAATGGTGTCGTGGGACAGCACTTTGAGCGTCATCATACGTCCACAAACGGTAATTTTGGGACCAACGGCAATTCTGATTGGATGATGAATCTTACGGCAACGGGGGATTTCTCCAACGCTTCTGCACAACCAAATGCGGGCTATGAGGGAATGTGAGAAGCTGAACTGGGAGTCATGAGTTTCGACATCATCCACTGAAGGCTTTTCTGGCTACGAACGAATCACTTCAGAGTACTTCCGGCGGCATTTGCGCAATGCTGCAGTCCAGCAAAGTTATCAGACTGCCAAAACATTTCGAGCCCCTCCTTCATTGGATCTACTCCGCGCGATCCATATCTCCTTCTTCAGAATTCGCACGACAGGTGCTCTCACAACCATTTGCGTCGCTGTCATGGTCATTCGATCTCTCCCAATCGTTGGTATCTTCACTCTTCAGAGCTGCCGAGTCTTCTGAAGCCTCCATCTCCCTGACAGGGTCAGCCCGAGTTAATAACAGAGCGACACGATGTTGAAGACGAACATTGCTGTGGTGGCTGTGACGTGCAGCATTCTTGGTCCACTGTGGCGCAGCCATTCTTTGACGCGGTCTCGCTTTGAGTTTGAAGCTCGATTTTGCTTCTGGTATGCAGCTTGAAGGGTAATCTGCTCGTCCTGGGGTCGATCACTGATCGAAGGCTGGGGCGCCTGGCGAGGGGAGTACGAATCGATGTCTTCTTCGAATATCTCTGCGGACGCTATAGAAACTGCGGTCGACGCCCAGGTTCCGGCATGCTTGGTGACCGACTCGGAGCCTCGAGGGGGCGCATCAGTATTCTCATCACTCGCCACAGGAAAGAGATTCCAATTCTCCTTGGCGGCATTGGTGTTTGTAACACGTGGAGATGCTTGAGATCGAGGCTCCACGATGTTGGATCCTGAGATGCCGACCATCGTACTCTGTCAATCAAGGTGGTGCATTGAGATGGTCAAGGTACTCGTTCTGCGCAGGGTTGTTGGCATTTGATATAATCGCATTGCTTCGGCTACAGGGTGACAAGCCAGCAAGCAGGGCAGAGCGCAAGCTGACTGCGAAGCGTTATAGGTGCCTACTCTGTAACCGCTTGACCTCTGCACATGCGGTCTGTTTACCCTGCACTGCGGTATTGATCGTGTACAACGTCTGTGGCAGCACTGTCTGCGATTCGGGCTGCGGTGAGCAGATTGGCTCCTTAGAGCGCCACCTCGATCCCTCACTTGCCCGCTTGCGCGCTTGCAAACGCTATGCCTATCATAGCTAGTTGCTGCACAAATCCAAACGGGCGGGCCAACCACGTGATTTGCCCGCTCAATATCAGCCTTGCTGAGGAAGGCTTCATCAGTCTGTTCTGCAAACGCATCGGTTCGGGCTCTCGTGAGCCCGACAGACATGACGCGTCGAGACGCGAACCTTCGTGTCGCCAGCCTCCGAGCCTTTGCCAGCGACGATGAGGATCTACACGACATTCATGGCGGTGCAAGACCAGATCTCGAGAGACTGGATTATTCGTCAAGGGTCCCCGAAACGATACCCTACATGACAGATGTGGATGAAAATGTTGAGGATCTCGTGGACGACGAGGCATACGTAGAAGAGCCATGCATTCCGGCCAGAGATGGACAGCGTGATCCATCGGCGAATGGCTTGTCTACTGAGGAAGCCATACAATGGGGTTCAGTGGGGCCGGCGCTTGATGTTGACAGACATCCTAAATTCACCGAACCCGTATCAAGCTCGAACCAATATGGGAATAGTCGCCCGCACGGGAAGCTGAAGAAGTCGCTGGAAATAGAGACGAGGAATATGATCGCAGAACCCGGCTTTGAGCCACGGCGACGGGACACCGATGCATTGAAGTCAGATCTTGATAAGAAGAGGAACAAGCTTGGTTATGAAAGAATATCCATTGACTGCGGTATGTTACGTGTTTCCGTCATATGAGCTCCATCATTCAGCCTTTCACGCTTGCACCTTTACCACACTGACAACGAGGCAGCTCACTGCCGCCGTCGTAGAATCCGATGCGTTGTCCCAGAAGATGACCCCGAGCAGAGATGCAACAATTGTATCCGCTCAAAGAGGGAATGCGTGTTTTACCCCGTCGGCCAGCAAGCTATTATTGATGCAAGGATGGACAAGTCTAATAACACATTGGAACTTTCGGACGAGCAGTCATCGGTAGCATCGTACTTTTCACTCGGGATCAGCGACTCGAGTAGCAGTCAGCCAGAAGCGACTCATTACAACCCGACTCTGCAAGTGACGGTCTACAGCGAGCCGAGAATGACCGGTTACCATCAACACCGGGTCAAGCCTATCCCCACGCGACCAGATTCCCAGAAACCCAGGCATTCAATGGAGGTATCTCCTTGGACCACTTCAACGCCTATGAGTAAACCGGCACCATACGCCTTTCACTCCGAGAGCAGTGTACCCACTGTCTCATCAAAGGTACCCAAGCACATGTCATTCTCAGATGACCTTGGATCATCTGTGTATATGCCAAACGGAACATCCACTACTCCGCCACTTTTGGCACGGCGATCTGACGCGCACTCTCCAGGGGAAAGTCCTCTCGATGAGGTCCATGATCCAGCTTACTTGGATATCTCACTAGCAGAGGTTATAACGCAAGCCGCAGGCGCAGCGGATTCCAATGAGCAGTTGCCCGCACGGCGCCAACACAGGTTGCCTCATCTGGCGAATTACTGGGAGCGTCCCTATGAGCAGCAGACGACGGAGGCCCAGACCGAGCAAGCCGGAGCACGCACCGTAGCGCCGCAGAACTTACCAAGCTTACAATCGGTGGCGCAGCAGCGGCAGGACATCCCCCAGGCATATCCTGCATACCAGAATCAGCAGAATGCAATGCCAGGCTGGCACCGCACCCTGTCTAAGCCTGAAAACCCGCGGACAGAGAACCTGCATAATCCACATGTGTCGAGCTCTCCAGTCCCAAGAGTACCAGGGATAGGTCAAGAACATGCAAGTGTGGCACCGAATTCAGGTCTTCTTCCTGACTTCCAACCGATACCAGAACAAGTCAATCCTGTTCCATCTACGAACAGGCCTGCTCCCTCAATGCCAGAGACTCCGGATATTGCTCAGTTTCACGTGCATGGCGAAACCAACGAAGAGAGCCGTGATTTCGCCATGCCGCACAGGTACGAGTTGATCAGTAGCGATGATATAACGGACCCGAAGACAGTATGTCCGGAGCCATCCCACTCAAGCAGTGAGTGCAGATCAGACCGAGAAAGCAGGTTATGAACCGACAAAGAGCGGAACAATGTTGTTATGACGCTCTTTCGCGACCTGAAGGTGAGAGTCTTGAATCTGCTGTACATCACCAGGCTGGACGTCCCACGCCCGGATAATGATTCTCGAACTAGCAGGCGTAGGTCGCTTTCGAGCGATTGTTTCGCACGTTCGGCAAGACTGCTGGCCAACGCGAAGTCCAGCGATGATCAACCGTCCAGCGGTCTCAGCAGGCGTGCCAGGAGTCTGCCTCCCTATCGATCTTGTGCGGATCATGACGGCCGTGATACCAACTGCTATCCCGAGCCAACTTCCACCAGGACTAGCGGCGGCACAGACTCACCCACACGCACTAACAATAAACGAGCACTCTCGTCGGGGGAAGGTGACCATGAGCAAAGACCAAGTCAGCGTGCAAGATACGCCGAGAACGGAGCGCATACAAAATCGAAACTCCCCTGCATTTTCCACATTGGCGAGCCGCTTGTATTCCCTGATCATTTGCAGAAATATGATCACATTTCGCAATTGCTGTAAGTGAGAAAGCTCTTCTGAAACTTGACCATTTCTAGTGAAGATAGGCGGCACTTAGGTGGATCCCACCATTTTCATGCTTGCCAGAAATGCTTCCAGCTGTTCTCGGCTGCCTCAATGATAAAGGAACATCGTTGCTACAAGTCATGCAGTAATGGACTGTGCAGAAGGCATGTCGCGGACATCGCCAACCGAGTGACAACCTGTCAATGCATCACGACTGCTACGGAGCAGTGGCAAGGGCTCTATCGTTTGCAGTATCCACTTCATCAGCCAGTCCTCTTACATGAGGCAGTAGCCTCAGCTGGACTCTCTGGTGTCGAGCCTCCTCAGTTGCCGACAACATACTTGACAGGTCAAGGTCAAGATTCAGAAGCGGTCGGTCTGCTGCTTTCGAGCTCGAGTGTGCACAATGCACCGGAGACCGAGGACGCACCTGCGGAAACACAGAATCATACGATCCCAATCGTACAGGACATACCTCAGCTTCATTCAGAGATTTACACGCTGCAACAACAGTTCCTTCTTCTGGAGCAACGCATAATATCACGACCAACGCCGCGTGAAGAGGACCTTGAACTGACAGTCGGGTTTCTATGGAGAGCACTCTGTCGTTCGGGGTGTGCGGAGAGTCAGCCTGAGACGCTTGAGTGGCGTATGGTCAAACGTCATGCTCCAAATGTATTGAGTTCTGCTTCCACAGTAATGCCGTCTACCGCGCCACTAGGTGTAGCCCACAGCACCAACGACCTGAACATCAACGATTGGAGTGATGTACATTGGGATGACTTCACGGCAAAAGGCACTGAAGCCTTTACAGACTCTGGTTACGGCAGTCTTCATCAACTATGATGAGGGGCAATAACACGCAAGCGAATCGAACAGTACGCATTTCTCTGCGAAATAGCGTACCAAGACGGAATGGTCGACACCTCCGAGACGGTCACTGTAATGCCGCGACATTCGCTTGTCACCAATGAAACAATTTCCATGAAATCATACGATCAATAGATTACCACTTCTACAATTTGCTCTTGCTGTCCTCAGGTGAGATCTCAATCACCAACTTGCCAAGCTGCGAGCCCTTGTTCATATCATCAAACAGACTGTCGATATCCTTGAGGTTGTCAATGCCCTTCACGGATCGTGACACCAATGGCTTGAGGCCCTTCTCGTTGACGAATTTGACAAGCTCTGCAAACTCCTTCCTTGAGCCCATCGTAGACCCACGAAGTTCGATGTTCTTCAAAACTGCAGGCATTGTCCATGTCATCTTTGGCCCGACTGTCATTCCGTATTGCGAGATGATGCCGCCGTCCTGCACTCATGTTAGTTGATTCGCGAACGACTTCGAATTGGGACGTGAAGTTGAACTTACCCGCAAAAGCTTGGCGCCTCGTTGCACTACATCGCCACCAGCACCATCAATGATGGCATCAAGTTTCTTCCTGTCCTTTGGCAGCATTTCCTTGAGCTTCTTGTCCCAATCCGCATCCTTGTAGTTGATTCCTCCTTTCGCGCCCAGCTTCTTCGCAACCTCTATCTTTTCCGCGCTGCCTGAGCTGACGTATACATTCGCGCCCGCAGCAACGGCATACAATAATGCCATGACTGCCACTCCACCGCCAATACCAGTGATCAAGATATTCCTGCCTGGCTTCGCTTGTCCACTCTTCGTCATCAATGCTCTCCATGCTGTCAGGCCAGCCAAAGGCAGCGCTGCAGCTTCATTGCTGGTCAAATGCTTTGGTGCCTCCTCAACCTCGCTCGCAGCGATCGCGATCAACTCTTGTGCTGTTCCGAGAGGGTTCAGCTTTGTGCCGCCTAAGATGGCATAGCCCTTTGCGGATTCTGGTCCATCGGGATCAGAGTCCCAGCCATGTCCTGGATTCAAAATCACACGCTTTCCTTGCCATTTCTTTGCTTCTGCTGAGTTGCCTGTCTTGATCACTACACCACAGCCATCTGCGAGGAGCGGGACGCCGAAGCCGATTGCGCCGTAGAGTGCTTGACGGATGAAGAGGTCGCGGTGGTTGAGAGCGGCGGAGGTGATTCGGACGAGGAGTTCGTTGTCCTTGGGTTCGGGAGTAGGTTGTTCGATATTCTTCAGAGGGTAGTAGACTTTGCCGGGCTTGCCATCAATCTTCTCGATTACTAGTACTTTGGGCATTGTGGATTGTTGCTGGACGGTGAGAGGGGAGATATGCTATGAGAATAGGAAATGGAACGGAGTCGATTTGAGTCGTGAAGAGTTGAAAGAACTGCCAATAGACAATGCAGAACTTACGATCGAAGCCGTGATTTACAAGCAACTGTGCCTATGATGTCGCCAGAGCAATGTCGAGCTTCACGGCGGAGATCCCACTGGACCGAGGCCATTGCCGGAGGAGCAGGGTGAGCAATACCGGTGCGCAGAAGTCGTGGCTTGGTCAGCTGCTGTTGCCCCAGGAATTCTGGCATTCTGAACTTCACCTCCTGTTCTTGCAGGTGTACACACTACTCCTATTCTTTAAGTACTGGGATGAACAACGATCTCTCCATCTTTTGGCCTTCTTGACTCACTGAAAGCGCCATCATGCCAATAGCGACGCCATTCGCGACGAGGACAATAGGCTTCAGGATGTCGTCGCATCATCAGCATCCGAGCGGCACAGTGCAGCATTACGCGCCCTGCTGAGCGCTGGTACCTACACGTCTCTCTAAGCTGCACAACGCTATAATCTCCACGAGAGCAGCGTATCTCTGTCATGTCTCCCATACACAAGCTCAATGCTGACCTTTTGCATCAACTCTTCGCTTTTCTCGATAGGCCGAATCTGCTTGTTGCGACCAGAGTGTGCTTCGAGTGGCATGATGCTGCACAGACCAGGATCGATGGCACTTTGGATCTGATTGCCACTACTACGATGCAGACAGCTAATTTGAACATACTGGGCCGTCTAGAAACGGACATTGCGCTACAGCACAGGGTGTCGGGTATCGAAATCCTTGAATGGCACCTTGAACCTCCGCCGGGTTTTGCTGGAGCAGCCTCAGACGATTCAAATGGACCTTGGGAAAAGGATGGATACTTCTCCAGCACATATCCGGGTGCGAAGCCCTCGTCTCCAGCTGCATCTGCTTTCCTCAATGCGCTTGCGATTGCACTGGCTTTAACGCGGTTGAGAAAGTTCACATGGTCCGCTATCTCGCCTTTGCCCGAGAAGCTCGTCTCCGTCTTAGCAGCGCTTCCGGCCTGCGGTGTTCATATCAGTCGTAACTCCAACGCACTTGAGACAAGTTTTTGGAGCTATTTCCCTCAGCTCAATTTGCGCCAAGTGGCAAGACTAGGAGCCATTCGCCACAATCTGAAAACAATGGAGGTTATTGTACCGACTCGCGACTTACTTGTATTGACTGCGCTGGGAAGACTGGCTAGCTTGACGAAGCTCGATTCACTGAGTGTCTACACGCTCGGCCGGCGATCATGTCCCGCAGTCGCAGGTGAGCCATTGAGGCCAACCACCGACATGTCCTGGATCCTCGACCACATGCTCCATTCTGGTCACAAACTCTCCTTAAGAAGGCTGCGGCTGGACAACTTCTGTGTCTGTGGGAGCGAGATACCATTTCAGCTACATCAGCTCACAGACATCGCAAGACTTGACCATCTGGCAGTCAGTTGCTTCAGCATCGTTTCTGGCTGCAACAATACGCTTCAACCACACAGCTTCCACCTGTCATGTTCGCAAATCAAGCAGCTTGATGATACAGCCAAATTTTGTGCCAGGGAATGGTCCGCGGAAGCAGTGCGCCAATTCTTGTCAGAGTGCATCCGGCTGAAAGAACTTGTCATCACGGACAATCAAGAGATTCTGACAGAGGAAGTCGTGCGCCACCTTGGACCACAACTCCAAGACTTGCAATACCATAGCATTAGTTTGCTCTCAAGCCGGAGCGATTTGAAAATCCTGGATCCTATGGTTACTCTTCCCTCGTCCTGGCTGGCACATTGTCGAAATCTTCTTAAACTCACCATCGACACTCCTATACCGCGTGCGAAAGCTTTTGTGCCATACGTATCATCTTACCTGGAAAGCTTGCCTAGCCTGGATCGACTCACTTGTTACTGTGTTGGCGAGCCCTGGGTATACGCCACGCACGACGAAATCGTTCCGGATGACCGCAAAAGCATCATTTGCGATGCAGTCTCAGGACTGCACGAACAATTGCTTCGCCGTCAACACCGGCTTACTGCATTTTGTATCGCCTTTGAGCCTCGCCCACATTGGGATCGTGATCCCATGGTAACTCGCATAGGCCGGCGCCCGACAACCCAATCAAGGACATTCAATTCAGAAATACGAGCTCCGCTAGTCTTCGGTTGCCCACCTACTGTGCAGGCACAATGCATGGAGCTCCAAGAAGTGCGTCGAGCGCAGAGACATCTGTTTTGGGAAGTTCACCCTCACTATTGGGCCTTCGCTCTCGCGAGATACTCCAAGTTGGCTTTGGAAGAATCGGCAGTGGTCCGACGAACACATTCAGGGCTGATAGAGACTCAGGTAAGTTCGCTATCTCGAAGATATAGATCCCCATTTTGTTTTGTCTGCATTGGATTTTGCCTGATCATGCACATATTCTGGTATAAATGACAAAAGCTCGCTTAGTTCGAAGGACTCCCGCTCAATTTATCAAATCTCTGACAACTCATGTGTTCAGGTACAAAGCTGTTCAAGGTAAATTGGCAAGCATCACGTTTCTCCCGGACGAGACACTCTGGCTGCTCACTATGGATGACGGTCGTTTGGCGAGTCTTTCGGCCGGTTCGAAACAGGATGTCGGCGGCCGAACTTGCCCCCAGTGCCACTGATTGTGTGACGCTTCATCCACAACGCTGTGCAAGGATTACAACAAGCCATCTTGCACGGGTTCTCAGGAACATACCTGTTGCTAGCATGCAATAATTGTCCGCGTTACTTTGTTTGTCGGCGTTGTTCAAGGCGTTAATATCATGCCATCCGTACGCTTCACCTCTGCCGGAAGCGAGAGTATGGCCCACTGCAGTCGAGGTTAACGGCATCCTTCTGCATTTCTTCGGCACTTACAGCCCGGATTCGCAACATGCATTATTTCGTGCAGCAGCGAATAGGATAAGTAGCGATCGAAGTCGAGGAATTCTACGCCAGTCCAGTCTCTGGTTCTCCAGGTGGTACCTATGCCCGTAACTTTGTTCCTTGCGGCATCTGTCGGCCCAGCACAAATGACGATTACATGCGATGGCCCTACCGCGGCATTCTGTGGACCCGGTTGACGCACAAGGCCGGTCTCATAGGTGAAAGCAACTGTTTGCATGCCGTTGGGTGTTGGCTGGCAGAATAGTGAGTTCGGTACCATATGCGGCATGTTTGGGAATTCAGGATCGATCCAAGTACCGAATTGACCAGGAGCGCGCTGGAAATGATTTGCATTGCACTTTATGACCACAGTCGGATCATTAAGCAATCCCGAGATCCAAGGACCCGTGAACGGACCAAAGCCAGCATCGACAGTGTTCATATTTTCTGGAGCTAATCAGAACACAGATCGCTTGCATGTTGTTGCGTGGCTTGCCCGGAGCACGCTGCAAGACATGCTTACCTCTGAATTTCCTCCGATCCTCGCGATTATTGCCCATCGTTTGCTTCACGATTTCGCCCAGTGCAGGATCATTGTCTGCCATGCGAAATGCGGCGTACTCTGCTATGGCCTTAGCTTCGTCGACGCCGGCGTGAACATCGAAGCCTCCGTTCCAGAAACAACTCATGTCTATCTGGTAGGCAGATGTGGTTGATAGGATGGCGAACAGGAGAAGACTGGTCTGAAAATGCATCTTGAAGTGTGCTGCTTCATCGGCAGCTTCAGCGGCGTTTGACTTTATACAAAACTCAGCTTCCATCACTTTCCTGAACGCAGACTCTATTATTGTGTTTCGTGCTGCCCGCGATGGACAGCGGCAATTGAAACAGACGATGGATGAACGAATTCAGAACATTTTCAACATCCTCGCCAATGGCAATGCTGTTCTTGAAGCCACTTTCCAAGTTGTATCGGTCTTCTGTGCGGCATATCAGGAGCCCACATCTTGGCAGCGGTTCACAGAGCACACTTGCAGCGAAGTCGAAGGTGAGAGAACACGTTTCCTTCGAGTATTGGTTTACAATATTCTACAACTGGACAGAGTTCGATGCTGCATGCAGAACAGGCAGTGCCTACTGTGCCGCGGCGGTTAAGTACAAGATCCAACATGCGGCGAACCGCCCGCTGTGCCACACAGAAGACCAAGATAGCAACATATCGACACAACTTCAACGACTATTTGGACTTCATGGTCTGGCAAGATGTTTCAGGTCAGAGATATAGTCGGGAAGCACTCCAACACATCGAATTTCACAAGTCCTAACCACATTTTGCAACAATGGCTCAACTCATTCTTGTCCTAGCCTATGCTACCATCTCTCTGTGCTCAGTTATTCGAACTTCACTCGAACGAAGAGAGGTCTCTGCTCCATGTCAGATTGTCAAAGATGCAACCTCATGTGGCAATGCGGAGTCTTTTCTTTGACACCTCAGCGCAATGAACGTACGGGATGCGGAGGCCGCGAAGGTTCATCTCTGCCGATGAAGCGTGATGATGCACTCAAAGCCATCAATGCTTACTGCGATCGAGACTTATCGCTCGATCCCGCATTCAATCCGGGTGACCAATTCTTCCAAGAACCCCCCGATGGGGCTTCGTGGGATCTTTTCATGGAAGGACTGGACGGGTATGTGATCAAGATGGATGCCAAATTTGGCGACGGAGGCCGCAGACGGGATGTCTCCCAGGCAAACGTTTCAGCACCAAGGGCGAGGAGTGTAAGCGGAAATTGACCAATGTTGTGGATGCTTGTGGTGAGGAGGGTGGAATCCAATTCGACAACACACAGAACGGATGTGTTATGTGGTCGATATATGGCAGCAAGGGAGCTCCTTAGTAGCGATTGGAGTACTGGAGACGGTCAGGCGTAAACAAAGAGCAGCAATTTTTCGAATTCAATGCAGCATCAGGTCAAAGTCATCTGACAATGCAGAATTGTTTGCTATTCCGACGCATCTTTCATGTATTGCAAAACGGTTCAGCGTCTACTGCTTTGAGCATCTCATCACCCATGTTTCCAGATCTTATCGCTTGATCGATGCCGCCATGGTATTCTTCCTGGTCCTCTACGTAGGCGTCTTGCTCGTTTCACGTCTTGCGCCTGCTTAGCCCGAAATCCCAATATCTTCCCAGCTCTTGCCTTACTGTAGTCGGTATGGAATCGCATTGCATGCTTCACCTAGACCTCGATCCTATGGCTCCTGTGCGTAAACTCAGCCCCAGCCTCCTGTATCTCGTCTTCACCTTTCTCGACAAAGCAGATCTGAGTTTGCCTCTCTACGGCACAGAGCAGGATTGACCGCACCCCAGATACTATTGCCACCACAACGTCGTGGAGAATCGTTATGGGCGTGTTGCAAGGCTCGTAAACTAACGCGCAACTCCAGTGCAGAGTGACGAGTGTCGAATCTTCGATGGCATCTTCGCCTGCGACAAAGTATTGGACGTCACGAAGTCGTATTGATGTTACACAGAAAACTCGTAAACTTGCAGGGATGTACATCTCAGTACGCAGGTGCTACTTGCCTTTCCATCACAGAACTTACTGCCATCCAGCAACAACTACTTGAGATCAACAATCATCATCATGGAAAGCACAGTACTTGGGCCTCGAGCGCAAAGATTCCTTGGCTTCCTGTGTGCACACTCTGCACAGGGGCTGCGCATCAACGCCGAGACCGCAGCTACACGCCTCTTCGTTTTGAAAAGCAATCCCTCCATGACCACTCCTCCATCGCGCGCCAAGTTGCAGTCATGGCTGGAGACTGAAATCGAAACAAACTCTGAGGCACTCCGGCGCACCAAGCAGTTTTCATAACGTCAAAGCCCAAGGAAGCCAGCGAAATTGGCTGTCGCGTGCAGCGAGCGAGAACGGATATCTTTGACGCAGCTTTACAGGAAGTCAAGTGTCTACCACGAAATCCCGAGGACCTTGATGCGCAAGGACGCCAAGACTGTCGGGATGCAGTGGAACTGATGCACAATGTGTTCCAATTCGGACAGGTCACCGAGCGAAGAGCCCGAGAGCAGGTTCGCGCTGAACTGTACAGTGCTTGCAGCCGGGACTCTGAGATCCATACGGGGCGCTGGTGGTGGTACTTTCTGTTTCCCAGAGTCTGGCCCCGCATGCTTAGCCCATTTCAGGTCAGAGTTATGTTCGAGAAATGGTCCAACGATCGTATCTGCATCGAGTTGAACAGGAAATACCGGCTGAATGCAAACCTGGATCCTTGGGACATGTAGATGTGAACAAAGGCTGTGCACAATATTCCTCGCCGGTCATGTCTGCGGAACTTGGCCAGAAATAGGAATACCGTTGGCTTTGACACGAGATCCAGTCTGCAAAATCTCCTCGACAAGCTGATTCCTCTGGATTTGCTATCTCGAAGGACTTTCAAGGAGTGGAGCTATCAGATCAGCGGAATATCTGCCATAGCTCTTCTCGACTATGGACGATGTGCAGTAGCTGCGACTATCTACTGGATGTGAGAGGGCGATGCTGAACGGTCAAAAAGTGGTATCCAGGGATGGAGTTCTGCAAATTTAGGCCGGATCGCAATAGGCTTCCCTCTCCTGTACGGCGTTCCGCGGCTGCCAGAACGAGGTTGTCCTCGAGCGATTGAAGGAGTCCGCGAATGACAGCAAACGATATGATCCAGGCAACACGAGTGCTGCAAATTTAATTTCCGTTGCTACTATACTGCATCACTTCCACTCAAGGCATGAGCTTAGTCCGGCTTTGGAAACGTCCTCGGTGAGTGAGGTCCCCAGCTTAAAGTTTGGCATCAATTCATGTCCAGTTGGCATGAACCCCAACCAGAGCGAAGACTTGCCAGAGTCCTTTCGACCAGGAAAACGATATGAATCAACACCTGCACTCGTTTACTTCCCCGGTCGACGTGTTGTTGGCACAAGCCGATGTCATCGACCCTTTGGCCTTTCGCCATTACTGCACCAAAGAGACCAGTGGAAGTGACCTTACCGTATGAGTGAACGACTCGTTGGGAATTGGGTGTCGATTCGCCCATTTTGTTGATTGTCTTCGACACAAGCCGCTGGGTGCTAGCTTGAAAGACCACACGCTTCTCATCTCTTGATTCACCGTCGACAACACTTTGCAGCACCGGTGCCGCCCCAGCATAAGACGGTCACTCGGTGTTCTCTCCGAGGTACCAGTGGCTGAAACCGGCTGTTCCGATCACGATCATGTTGACTCTCTGGGCACTGCTCAGCGACGCGGAGATCACTGCTATCTGACATAGCCTCAGACAGCGCCGCGACGATGCGCGATGACCCTAGCTGATGAGTGATCATGGAGAATCCGACTCCTGATCCAAAACTCAACGATGAGGAGTCTTCCTCTGCACGAATTTTCGCCAACCTGTATACATGAGCAATGTTGCGAAGTCCGCCACTAAGAATACACAATATCTAAGATGCTTTTCTGGTGCTACAATCTCCCATTTACCGGGCTCTCTCCGCATCAATAACAGCAACGCGTCTAGCTCACAACTAGTCACCATTGATGATCACATCGGCCGCCTTCTCGCTGATCATGTAGATTGGCAAGGCGATGAACGTTCCTGGAATCTTTGGAAACGCTGATGCGTCCACGACTCTCAACCCATCGACGCCACGAACACGGAAGTTGGTGTCTAGAACGGCCATCGGATCGCCATCCGCACCAATTGCAGCGGAGCAACAGGCATGGTGACCCCAGGCATTGTCCCTTGCCCATTCCTTGAGTCCGTCCTCCCCAGTCACATTCCGGCCTGGCTGAATTTCGGTGAAGGTGCCGTCCAAGGGGATGAGCTTGTCGAACGCCTCCCGTCCGAACATGAGTCCTTCTGTGGCGGCTTGCAGATCCTTCTCATCACCTCCGTCAGTGGTGTTTCCGGTGTCGAAAGAGTTGAAGTCGATCTGCGGAACGTCATGCGGGTCAGCAGAGCGCAGAGTGACTGTGCCCGCATTGTTGTGGGAGTGGGCTTTGAGAGCGAGCCAGCTCCAGATATTGCCTGGACGAACTGCGTCGTACGCGAAACCTGGGTAGTATCCTCCAAAGAGACCGGGCGCTCCGATGATGAAGAGATCTGGATCCTCGTCTTCGCTCGCACCAGATGACTTCTTGGTCACACCGACAGCCACACCGCCAGTGGCGTATGGGCCTCGTGCGAAAGCGCTGTTGCCCTCTTGCCAGCGGTCCAAGCATGGGTCGGTACTTTCGTATCCAAAAGTGCAGTCCTTGGAGATTGAGAGTTTGGTCTCTGCCTGCCCGACAATGGCAATCTCGTAACGATCTTGCATGTTGGTGCCCACTCCTGGCAAGTCGTGAACGACTGGGATCCCGAACCTCTCAAGCTCTTCTCGAGGCCCGACACCACTGAGCTTGAGCAGCTGTGGGGTGTTGAAGGTACCGCCAGCAATGATGACTTCCTTGCCTGCAGCGACGTATCCAGGTCTACCACCACTCGTGGGGTAGGCGCTTGCGCCATAGAGCTGTTTGCCCTCGAGGTATTCGACACCAATCGCGCGAGGCTTGGTGCTGTTGTCGAAGCGGACCTTCGTCGCGAGAGTGTTGAGCTTGATGTCGAGCACGTACTTGCGAGAGCCATCCTCGTTGACAGCGTTTGCCGTGTCCAAGATCAACTTGCGAGGAGTACTACGAGTGGAGCTGCCAGCATCGATGCCTTGGGGAATCTGGAACAGGTCTTCCTGCTGGTCACGGTCGGGAGTGTCGGCATTGAGATCGGTGAGAAGGACGTTGGCAAGGCCAGTGACAGTGTTCAAGACGGTGCTGATGAGGTCCGACTGTGAGCAATGTTAGTACGGGGCATGAGACAATGCGGACTGAGCCTCCAAGGCCTACCTTGCCAAGTGCCGAAGCGGCTGAAAGGACAATCGAGAGGACTTTGAAGTCCGCGGCGACCAAAGTCAACTCCGTGAGACTGGTGTGGAACCAGCCGTCTTTTCCGTGGCCAGGACCAACTGGGTACTGTGCATGCTCGAGCTTCTTGAAGTATTCCCGCATCTTCTCTGGCGCCCAGGAGTCGTCTCCGGTCAATGTCTGGAGATAGGTCCAGTCGCTCTTGTGGGGGTAGGTGGTAACGACCGCATTGTGTTCAGCACAGCCGCCCAAAGCGCTGGCACGAGGATAGAGGATTCCGAGTGGCTCGGCCCCCTCTGGAGGGTAGAGTCCGTGGTAGAAGCTGCCATCGCTCAGGCGGTACGTCATCTTGATATCCTTCTTTTGACGCTCGACATCTTTGTAATGGGTAACATAGTAGTCCCATTTGATGTTTGGATCTTCACCTGATTGGAGGTTCCGGGCTGGCACGGTCTGGTTCACGTTGTCTCCAAAGTCACCTCCAGCTTCGATTAGTAGAACCCGGTGTCCTGCAATGGCCAGGCGTGCTGCAAGGGGACCTCCTCCTGGTCCGGACCCAACAATCACATATTCGTAGTCGGTGTCGTTTCCTGCTTGTCTGCGATGCACATGTGAGTCGCCATGGACGCGTGGGAATGCAGCTCCCAATGTCGCCAAGGACAGGGCTGCTGTGAAGTAACCCAGAAACATCTCAAAAGTGGTTGAGAGGCTCGCCGATGTCACACGATGGAAGCGAAGGCCATGCACCGCGAGACATTAAATCCGCCTTGAGAAGTGCATAGACTATCGCCCCTGTATGATGATCTACATAAGGGACCCCCTCCTTCATCTCAATTATCAGACAGCAGTTGGGCAACTAAGTGCGATGATGTGGCGGACTAAGTGCGGTGAATCTTGCGGGGCGTTCTCGGGACGCGTATAGTTACCGGCACTTGCTAGTTTGGCCAAGTTTGGTAGTCTGGCTCGTAGGCGATCGCCAGGATTATAAGACAAGCGTCTAAGCTAACAAGCCCGATGGAGTCCAAAAGGCGCTTTCACATCTCCTTGGAATGACAGCTCGGTTGTCACCGAAAACGGAGCCTCATGTGGCAGTGCAGCAGTAGGCATACTCATGCAGCTCAGGCTGAATGGCCACGAGTATGAGTGAGACTAGCTGCTTTTCCGCAAAGCCGGATGCTCACTAGGAAGAGCGTTGACACTGGACGTGCAATACCAAGAAAGTCATCTTCACATGCCTACGCAAATCTTGCGACGCATTTCCTTGGTACATAGTTGAGCACGAATGGAGCTCTTTCCCCAGGCGGTTTCTTCACACTTTGTAGCACTGACTACGACTTCCACGTGCGCAGTCGACACGGACTGGCATTCTGTCTGCGACCATGAAGCTCTTCTGGGTGCTTTTCGTGCACCTTTCCGCTCTGGTCGCCAGTCAGCAGGATGCCACCAAGGAGGAACAGCTTGCCCGGGCGCTGCAGCTGCTGCAGACGATGCCACAATGTGCGGTGGGTTTCGTTCCCGGGGTACTGGTTGCTGGGTGCATTGTACTAACATTTCGCAGCGTGTTTGCTTGGCACAGGCTGTTGCTGCCTCTGGTGTCTCGCTCGGTAACCTCGATCTGACTGCCAGTTGCACCAATGCGACGAATACTGCCATCGTCGAGGGATGTGTTCGAGAGACGTGCCTGCCGCGCGAGCAACTTAGTAAGTTGGAGATCTTGTGGCCTTCTGAAAGTAATGCTGACTATGGACCACAATCAGCTGCGAAGAATGTTACCGAGACGCTCTGCCAAAGGCCCGTTCGTGAGGTGTCTGATATCCCTATCGGGACCTACATTGGAGCTGCGCTTGCCACAACAGCCTTCTTCATGCGCATGCTCTCGAAGGTGACCTTTCCTTGCGAAAGAGGCGCTCGCATCGACAATGATCTTTGGTGGGACGATGCTGTGATAACGTTCGCCTGGATCCTGATGATTCCCATCTCAGTACTGTCTGGCTATCTGGCCAAACTCGGTATGGGTCGAGATGTATGGACCATCCATCCTGACAATATCACGCAGCTCCTCAAGGTAAGTGTATCTTGGGCCGGGACATGAACGAGTATGCTGATACTAGCGCAGGTTTACTATTTCGACGAGATGATGTACGTGGTGGCGTTGCCAGTCATCAAGATTTCAATGCTGCTCACGTATTTGCGCATCTTCCAGTCGAAGCGATTCCGCTGGTTGGTGTTTGGAGCGCTGGGACTCAACATTGCTTACCTTATTACCTTTCTGTTGATCACCATGATCCAATGCAGACCTTTGAGTTTGGTGAGTGTTGCTTTGAGGTGGATTTGTTTGGAGCATTCAGTGCTGACATTCACCTCCCAGGCATGGCTCCGATGGACGAAAGAGTACCCGGGAACGTGTAACAACATCAACGCCCAGTCGTGGGCGGCGGCAGCACTGAATATTGTGCTCGATGTCATCGTTGTCGGGCTTCCTATTCCCATGCTGTGGAGGATGGACCTCAACATTCGCAAGAAGTTGCTAGTGATGCTCATGTTTGGTATGACTGCCCGGCTCAGACTCAACTCGTTGTTCTTCTGCTGACTTTGCCGTGCGAACAGGCGTCGGATTCTTCGTCACCATTGTCAGTATCTTGCGGCTTCGATTGCTGGTTAGGTTTGGCGACTCAGAGAACCTTACACGTGAGTTCGCTGCCTTCAATGACGTTCGCAGCTGTGCTGACAACTTTTGCAGATGACTACAAACAAGCCGGGTTCTGGACGATCGTGGAATTGCATACGGCCATCGTTTGTGCTTGTATGCCTGGCATCCGAAACCTCCTGCGTCGCGCCTGGCCGAAACTCATGGGCCAAACTGTGGCATCGACAGGTGCAAGTACGGCTCCATCGACTGGGCTCTCTGGCCGCACTGCAGTCAGCAGCGGGGTTGACAAATCAGGTACTCAGGTCTTTACCCGCCCACGACACAGCGATGATGGAGACTTTATTCCGCTGGAAGAAAGGCACAGCCAGAGGGACTTGAAAGCAGTGTCGCCGGCTTGAGAAGCTCGAGGAGTGGGACAATTGAGGCAATTGAAGGGGAGGAACAAGTCGTGACGGAACTCGAAGATGAAGCAAGATGGTGAGACACGCTGTGTGCCCGCTTGGCCACAAAGAATGGCATCGACATCTCAGCGCACGGCGAGGCCAGACCTTTACTGGATCCACCGATGTAAATCGATCTCTGTTCGACCTTGGAAAAGGATGTGAGGAGTCTGCAATCGGGAAAGACAGGCGTGGTGGGAGTGCAACGATGAGACGGCCGCGATTGCAATTGGCGACACCAGGCGGATTGGCTGTAGGATGAACAGGACTTCCAGCCGGGCGGGACGGCGGCGAAGAGCTCCCACCATGTGCGGCTGCTGCGATGCGTGTGAGTTCCTCGAGCAGTATGTGAGCACAGCAGTAGCCGCAACTCTCTCCAGGAGTCAACACCGCTGCGAAAACTTTGTCCCGGTGGAAGGGCATTTGTATCTTGATAATTAGCTTCTAATGAGCGACAAGTATGTATGCAGACAATGCTGCTAACATGCCATTCGAAAAATTGTGTTCCACGGCTCTGCAACAGTTTGGTCTGCGAACATGCCGCGAGCATAGGTACTCTCGATGGCTTATGGGTCGCATCGACTCTACGATTTCCCCGTCACATGCGCAGTGACCATGCTTTCTTGCCTGGGGTGTTATGAAAGCACGTATTGCAGAAGTGTCAGACGTGCGTGTGGGATCCTAAGCCACTGGTGAAGGCGTTCGGCGCAGTGATAGGTCTCCGTTTTCCTAATTGGGGACGCCGTCCGTGCTCCATGGTGCTCGTGTTCAGTGCTGATCTCCCTACATGGATGTCGTATTGCACTCCTACGCGAAATGGCTTGAAAATGCTTGTCTTCGATCCTGTTTCACGAATGGATGCAGTGACGTTGCTCTCCGACGCGTCGCAAATGGGACCTGGCAGCTGAATGAGATGCCTTGCATAAAAGGAGGGAAGTTCAGCTTCAGAGCTCTCGGGCAACGTAGCCTGTCGTGAGTCCAGGCACACGGTCTGCATGATGACACTGGCTGCTGGAAGGGAGCCACAATCGAGCTGTATTGACGAGTAGCCTGCGCAAAGATCAGGATTGCGTTGCGCCCAGTATCCTTCGTCCACGGCTTCCGCGCTGAGAGGAGGGCCATCTTGGTAGGGATGCTGGGTCGAGGTGAGCTTGAAGTTTGAACGGCAGTGCAGTCGGGCACGGATCTTCTCCTAACCTGATCAATTTCCACGAAGACCAAGTAGCAATCTGACCACTGTCGGCTTCCTGGTTCTTGCTTCGGCTTGGGACGAGTGCGGTGTACTGCAGCATTTGGGCTCGAGCTTTCAGGTCGCGAAGACTGTAGTCGTGCCAACTGCACATCTGTAGACATGATATAGCCAAGGGATAGCACAGAGAGCGGCGCCTCCGTCGTGGAGCCTCTCGATGCTCGATAGACCGTCTGTTGATGCTCCTGATGCCCATCTTGGCCCCGGCTCGATGCTGGCGAACGCTGAGGGGATCAGCGATGTGCTGGTCTTGACGGAGTTCAGACGCCCCTGCATATCGTGTAGCAGATACGTGCTGGGTATATGGTCTCGCACGAGAGCAGGATAAGATCCGTCCATGTGGTGTAGTTTGACTTGATTGAAGCCCGTGCCAAGACCTAGCTGGATGTGTTCTCGCCACAAAAATGGCATCCAAACACACAGCCTGCGGCTTGATGGAAGATTTCTCGTCATGTTCTATGTCGTTCCTGGTTTCGCTGCCATCAATCAAGCGTACTGGTGCTCAGTGAAGTGTCGATTAAGTGTCTTCTGACCGGAAATGCGGTTTTCTCACATATCTGCTTGTCCATCGCACATTCTGTAGCTTAATTGGGGCTGCCCCATCATGTTCTGTAGTGTCTTCAGCTTTGCTGATATCGATTAAGTGTGGTGCTGCCCGATGAAGTGTCGATTAAGTGTCTTTTGACCAAAGATGCGATTTTCTCACTCACACAATCACCACTTCATCGCGCACCCTATGGCTTGATTGGAGGTTCGTCGTCGTGTTCCGTGGTGACTCCAGCTTTGCAGCTGTCAATCAAGTGTGCTGGTGCCCGGTGAAGTGTCGATTAAGTGGGTTCTGGCCAGAAATACGGATATTCTTCGCATGTCACATAATCGTCGTCTAATCACGCACCCCGCGGCTTGATTGAAGCTACCTTATCATGTTCTGTGGTGTTTCCAGCTTTTCTGCTGTCAATCAAGTGTGCTGCTGCCCGGAGAAGTGTCGATTAAGTGTATCCTGGCCAGGAATTCGTCCTATGGCACATCATTATCGTCTAATTTCGCGCCCCGCGGCTTGATCGGGACTTTCTCGTAATGTTCCATGTTGGTCCTGGTTTGGCAGGCCCCGATCAAATGTGCTGCTGCCTGTTGAAGGCTCGATTAAGTCTCCTCTCGCCGGAAATGCGATTTTCTTCGCCGATTACCTAATCGTCGGTTAATCAGGCATAAGGCGGCTTGATTGAAGGCGATCCAGCACGTACTATGTTGCTGGAGACTCCGCCGCCACCAATCAAGTGTGCTCCTCCCCGGTGAAGACCCGATTAAGCGTCATCTGGCCGGAAATCCGATTTCTTGCGCATGTCGCACACACCACGAAGCAAGCGGCGCTCTTGGGGCTGCGTCAATAGCGTCAATGCTTCCAAGAGTTCTCTCCATCAGATGGGATCCCTCTTTCCCCTGGGAAAGTGCCGATCAAGTCTTCTCGCCTAGAGTACGCCTTGCCCGGCATGTCGCATAAACGTTCCTTCATTCGAGTGCCACCGACTTGATTCATAGCTTCCAGAAGTCTTTGGGGTTAGAGTATGTTGCTCCTGGCTCAATCAAGTGCGCTGTGGTCCAATGAAGCGCCGATCAAGTGTCCTCTGGCCCGGAATACGCCTTTCCCGGCATGTCGCATAATCACCGGTTGATTCCAGTGCCACCGACTTGATTCATGGCTTCCAGAAGTATATAATGCTCGAGAATGTTGTTTTTCGTTCGATTAAGTACGCTGCTGCCCAATTAAGTGCTAATTGAGTGTTGTCTGGCTTGGAGCGCCCTTTTTGCACATGTCGCATAATCATCGCTTGATCCGGGTACCGCCAACTTGATTCATGGCCTCTCCAAGTCTCTGAGCTTCAGAAATGTTGCCATGCCATCAATCAAGTGTGCTGTTGACCGGTGAAGTGCCGATTAAGTGTCGTCTGGCTTGGAGCCCGCTTTTTCCGCATGTCGCATAATCGTCGCACGATTGACGTACTGCCAACTTCATTCATAGTCTCTCGCAGTTTCATGGAGTCGGTGATGTTGCCTTTTCATCTATCAACCATGCTGCTGCTCGATTAAGTGTCGATTAAGCGTGTTCTAGCGTAAGGCGATTTTGGGCCGCAGATCGCAAGATTTTCATCAGAGCACGCTGGCACCGACTTGATCCATGGCGTCCGGCCGTCTTTGAAGATCGAATTCGCTCCTTTTTAACCGATTAAGTATGCTGCTGCCCAATAAAGTGTCGATTATGTGTCTGCTAGTTTCAGCTTAGTCCGCATACCGCGTCGTTGTCGTTCAAGGAGGACGCCACCCGCTTGATTCATAGCACCCTATAGTCTCTGAATGTCCAAAATGTTCCTCTAATATTAATAAAGTGTGTCGCAGCTGAATTAAAAGCCGATAAGTCCTTTCCGGCTAGGACTACGCTTCTGCTATATATCGTATAATCGATATAAAGATAGCGTTAGACTTACTTTATTAATAATCGATCGAAGTCTTAATACTCCGAGAGTACGTCTCTACTATTAATTATATATACTAGTATGCAATAAAGTATCGTTATAGCGCTTAGCGCGTAGAGTAAGACTTCGTTTCCTATATATCGTACGAGTACGGATCTCTAGGTACTACTATATATCGAGTATAAAAGGCGACGATCGTACGAGCCTTAGAGATACTTAAGAGTTACGTCGGAGGTCTCTTCGTAAGAGTAGTTCTAATTCCTCTCCTAGATCGGTTAGATATACTAGCTTATCCGGTACTCTAGACTAGTTAAAGTATATTATAGAGATACGAATTAGGACAAGACGGATATAAGAGGGAAATATTAAGTCGGCGTATAGTGCTATATATAGTATTATATAGAGTACTCCGGATACTAGTAGAATATAGGATCTTAGGCGAATAGGTAGATTTTAGAGCAAATAGATAGATTTTAGTACGAAAGAGCTATATTTTATAATAGTATTATAGACTCCTCTATTTTATTATATATAAGCGATAGGCTTTCTTAAGTTACTCTAGTAAATAATATCGAGGTTAGTCTAGTACTCGGTATAACTAGATTACTCTAGTAAAAAATATTAAAGTTAGAAATTACTTTTTCTTTCTATCTTTTTTTTAAAAGTATTTAAAGAGAAATTCTTTAGTTTTTTATTTTTCTATAATACTTTAAACTATTCTCTATTAAAGAAAATTT